GGTGCTCAATTTATGGACACGACACGAACACCGACCCGGAAAAATCCGGGTTCGGTCAACCCAAACCCGAAACGGTCGGGTTCGGTGTTCATGAAATTCAACCCGTTTTAAAAATCGGCGGGTCGGGTGCCCGCCAACCAGATATTGACCCGAAAAGTGACCTGAAAGTGGACACAAAAACTCATTTTTGACTCGGAAAAAACCGAGATGACCCGTTTTGACCCGACTGACCCGAAAACCGAGATTGACCCGATTTTTTACCCGAAATTAGCAATTTTGGGTCAATTCCGGGGTCATTCGTGTCGCGTCGGTGACCCGGACCGAAAATCGGGTCGGGCTTCGGGTCCAGAAACCTGACACATTTTTAACAAAACCGGGTCGGGTTCGGGTTGACCGCGAAACAGTGCCGGGTCAGTTTCGGGTTTCGACACCAAAAAAAAAACCCCCGAACCCGTTTGACCGAATTGACACCCCTAACATATGGTCATTCCGACCTCCATTAACAGACAACCAATCTTTTCTGACCCCGGTCTCCTGCCTACTACGGGTCCTTCCGACCAAACGAACATGTATATGTAACTCCTACCATGTAATGCAATCTATATGATGTACATTTGCTACATCAAATTCTAGGCCTTCTCCCAAGAAGGGCCTCATTTGTAATCGACTACAAATACTAGTGGATTCATTCAACAACTGGGCCATGCCCCATGGTTTTTCCCCCTTTCAGGGGTTTTCCACGTAAAAACTCTGGTGTCTCTTATGAATGCTACACCCCTCTCACTTATCTAATTGTGTGCTGGATCTTCGTACAATGCTAAGACATTAAACTATATTTCTCTACCGCCGCGAATACTCCAGGACGCAACATACATAAAAATTTATATGTCTATAATAATTAAATCACTTGAGGTGACTTATGTATCTTTAAAAATTTTACCCTTAAAATCTATCATTGAAACTCAAACCCCTCACTCCTTATTTTAAAACCATACTTCTTCTATTCACTATACATATAATAGCATATATATATATATATATTTATATCAGTATAAAAAAATCCATTGTATCACATATTTATATACGATTTTTTTCAATTTTATATCCATGAACTGTTAGCATAGCTTATTAATAATAAATAAATAATTATACCAATAATATGTATTAGCTTATTACGGTTTTACCTTATATGTATCAGCTCTATATATACCTTTGTATCTAGTGTAACAAAACAACTTAATACAATTCTTTACATTCTTGCTCTGTACCCAAATTGGAAAATTATTCAAAGCAAACGGCTTTGCCGGATTTATTGAACCCAAATCGGCAGTCGAAAATAATGATCCGAATCAAGATCTTAATTCTTGGTCTATTACGGATCAAAATCTCGCTACAGCGATGTGCTCTACGATCTCACCTCTTGTTCTTCCCTACGTGATTCACTTCGAATCTACATACGAGATATGGTCTACTCTTCATACAAGATTTCAGTTCTCCAATAGATCGAAGGTCATCCAGCTCGAGCATGAACTGCACAACATATCAATGCAAAATCTGTCCATGTCTCAATTTCTCACCGAGATCAAGAAGATCGTGGATCAGATTTCATCCGCTGGCTCATCCGTCGATCCCGAGGACGTTATGATCTACTTCTTGAATGGGCTTCAACCGGAATTACCACCCTCTTTTCTTATTCCATGCTCCACGGTTAACCAACAACAAACACCTCCACAGTCGATGCAGGTTTCACCTTAGATAGTCTCTTATACTATCACGCCTTCAATTATACCCGAACAGGTGATACCACACCAGAAGGCCGCTCCTCAGCAGAATCACAGTCTTCCTCCCTTCCATCCTATAACCACTCGGGCTCAAACAGGGTCTCTAAAACCTGTAAACAGACTTAATCTAATTCATCACGAACAGCCACAAAATGATCCTACTTCATACACCGAAGCCAGCAAAAGTTTCGAATGGAGAAAGGCCATTGCTGAAGAATTTTTTGCGCTCCAACGTCAAGGAACGTGGACGTTGGTACCTTCTCCCTCCAACAAACCTATTCTTGGCTCTAAATGGACTTACCGAACCATGCATAATTCAGACGGATCAGTCGCAAGGTTTAAAGCCAGATTAGTGGCTCTCGAAAATCAGCAAGAACATGGTATAGATTACTTCAATACCTTCAGCCCGGTTACAAAGCTACCAACAATCAGGATCCTTTTCACAATTGCTCTGTTTCACATGTGGCCAGTTCATCAGTTGGACGTCGCAAACGCGTTTCTTCACGGCGATATCATCAAAACTGTGTTTATGCGGCAGCCTAAGGGCTTCGAAGATTCGGTTCATCCCAACTATGTCTGTCGTCTAAACAAAGCAATCTACGGCCTTCGTCAAGCCCCACGTCAGTGGTACACTACATTCACGACATACCTTACTCAACTTGGTTTTCTCCATAGTCAGGCGGACCCGTCTCTGCTCGTGTTCCGTCAAAAAGATATTGAGATGTATCTTCTAGTGTACGTTGACGATATTTTAATTACTGGTAACAATACTCAAGCCCTGACAAACCTCATAAACCAACTTAATTCACGTTTCACAATGAAAGACCTTGGTGCTGCTCATCAATTCCTCGGTATCAAGATCGATACCTATCCAGATAAGTATATCCTATCTCAATCGGTTTACGCAAATTTTATAGTTCAAATGGCCGAGATGCAGCGGTGCAACTCGGTCTCTAACCCTTCATTCACAAAAACTCCAATTGCAGACTTAGATGCCGCTCCCTGCTTCGACGCAACCTTGTACCGGAAGCTAATCGGGTCGTTGTAATATCTTACCTTAACTAGACCTGATATCTCTTATGTCGTCAACTCGCTCTCTCAACACATGCACAATCCCTCCGCATCTCATTCATCCCAGCTCAAGAAACTGCTACGGTATATCAAAGGAACATGTGGACTCGGTTTGCCAATTGTTCGTTCGAATCTCCTGCTTCGTACATTTTCTGATGAAGACTGGGCATCAGATCCTATGTCCAGAAAATCAACTTCCGGATTTTGTATGTTTCTCGGTGATACTCTTGTATCCTGGACTGTGAAAAAGAAAACTACAGTTTCAAGATCCTCCACCGAATCGGAATATCGGGCATTAGCCTCGGCAACGGCAGACACCATTTGGATTCGGCGGCTTCTAGCTGACTTCGGCATCAAGCATGATCCACCGGTGGATATCTTTTGTGACAACATGTCTACGATTGCCTTGGCAAATAACCCTGTATTTCATGCTCGCACTAAGCACATTGAATAGATCAACGATTCGTTCGGGATCATATTCAGAATAAAGTAATCCGGTTGCTACCCATCAGTACGATCGATCAAATAGCGGACATTCTCACAAAACCGCTTACCACTCCTCGATTCAAGACACTACGATCCAAACTAACAATTGTTCCCACTTGTCAGTTTGAGGGGGAATGTTAGCATAGCTTATTAATAATAAATAAATAATTATACCAATAATATGTATTAGCTTATTACGGTTTTACCTTCTCTGTATCAGCTCTATATATACCTTTGTATCTAGTGTAACAAAACAACTTAATACAATTCTTTACATTCTTGCTCTGTACCGTCTCCACTCTCATCTTCTTCATGAACAGCTCTCACTCTTCATATATACATTAATCAATCAAGCAAAGTAAAAGATTTTCCATCTCCTGTACAAGTCATAAATGCATGGTGACATTTCCTCCTCTATCCCTCAATCATATCAATCTCAATAACTAGTTAGTACTTCCTCATCAGCCCAGCCACAAAGAGCTTTGATCTCCCCGCCAGTCCCACCCAGCCTACCGTGCCACCGCCAACAGCCGCCTTACGCAGGCTAAAACCCAATCGCCATGCTTCTGACCGTCGCCTTCCCGTCGCCTTCCCGTCTCTGGCTCCTCTGTTATTTCCAAGGCCGAAGCGACTGTGGGCGAAAACCTCAAAGGGACTTCTTGAGCTCTGCTAATGGCCGTCGCAGTACTCCATCTAATCGCCCCGCAGACCCATCTTATTTGCGCGGAGGTGTGTAATGAACAGTCTAAAAGGCGGTGGCGCGCAATATGAGGCGGGCGGCACGGACTAAGAGGAGGGCGGCGCTACATAAATGCGTGTAAAGTCGGTCAAGGCAGTATATATAGGATTTAAGACAGCTTAGCTTTTGATACGGTAGCTTTTGCTATCATCCAAGAGTTTCCAAGCTGATGTATACATAAATAGGAATTTTGCCTATATAAGTATATAACACTTAAAATTATTATAATTACATATCTAACACATAAATTATAATATTTACTTTTCTAACACCTAAATAACATTACATTCATCTAAAATATCACTCGGTTAACTCTCAATCAAAATCCCATCCTGACCCATCGATCCCTTTCCCATGCCCTTTGTGAAACTTACATCAGTGCAAAGAATCCTTCCTCCCATTTACACCATCGGTCTGCTCTCCATCCTCACTCGCCGTGCTATTCCAGTTAGGGCGAGCACAATTGAGCGTAGATGTAGCAAGAGCTGAGTAGTAACAAGGTGGAGCCTCTGCATCTCCATTCTTTGTTACTTTATGTTCGTGCACTCATTTGTGATTCTATTTAAGTTGTTTCTTTTGTTTAGGGGTTGTTTGGCAGTAGGATTTGAGCGAAATCCAACCAAACAGCCTAAAATGCAAAACCAAATCTTGGTGTCTCTAGTTAATGCTACATACTCTCTCTTATCTGATTGCGTGCTGGATTTTCGTACAACGCAAAGACATTAAATTTTATATTTCTCTACCACCGCGAATACTCCTTGATGCAACACTCTCTATTGTCAATAATTATATAATTAACCTCAATGACAATGTTCTTTTAAAAAACTTTGACCCCAAAAAAATTCAAATTGAATAATGAGAATATCTATAGGGATTCAAAGATCTAACTTGCTAGCCATTGGTATCACGAGTTCATAGAGCTTAACAATTCATATATGTCATCTCAAATTTATATTCCTTTCAATTTCAAATCCCTTCTCATATTTCCTCATAGGGGTGTAAACGAGTCGAGTCGAGCTCGAATCAGGGGGAGTTCGAGCTTGACTCGTGAGTCAAATATCGAGCTCAAACTCGACTCACGATACTGTAACTAGCCATCGAGCCGCTCATCTGGTTTTCCAGCCTGGTTTTTTTATTTTCCTACCTAGTTTTACCATATGGTTTTGCACGTATGGAGAGAAGTAGCTATCTCTTTGGGAGAAAAAAAGGTTGCAATAATAGCATAATGTTTTTTGTTATATTATTTGTGAGGAAATAAGACTACCAACATTTATTAGCATTGATATTTGAGATAAAACTTTTGAATTTTTGTATGGAGATGTTGTTCTGGGAGAAAAGAATAATACTATCAAACTTACTTTATTACTTTTAAGTATAATAAAAATATTAGCTCAAAATACTATTTTTGAGCTGTCCCGCAAGTTGAGCCTCAACAACCTCGAACTTGAGCTCATAAGCTCGGCTAACAAACCCATAAATGAGTCGAACACGAGCTCTCCCCCCCCCCCCCCCCCCCAAAAAAAAAAAAAAAAAAAAAAAAAAAACCCCCCAAAAAAAAAAAAAACTAATTTTATGAACAAAAAAGATCCTTAAAATTTAGAGTTCAATCTCCATGCTCATAAAACCCGGTCCAACCCAAATATGCAGTTATGATATAATGGTATGTATAAATAAAGTATGCGTTCAATCCAATAGCCTGAAGTTAGAGGTTTAGAACGATGGGCTTATAAGCGATGCAGATTGGGGGAAATTATTGGGTTCGGACACCGGACGTTGTCCAGAGCCCAATAAAAATACGCCACATCATCTTCTACTCGGTAGTGAGCAGTACCAAGCAATACCGAGCTAGGTACTGCTCAGTACCGAGCTTGATACTGCTTAGCATCGACCTCGATATTGTTGCAAATATAATTTTATGGATTATAATTTTGATGATAATAAATATTCCTATTTTTTATGACTGTCTTGCCTACTAATATATTAGATCAACAAGATTGAGTGCAACTCAAGCCAGCTCAAGGGTAGACTATGTCTAAGTCAATTTGTAAAATTTGTCCTTTCATGAGTTTATTGTAAACGATATGGTTTCTGATGCTAAGTAATCTTGCACACACACACGGATGCACTTGGGGGAATCTTTTTTATGTCTGATTTTAGAGTTTTCTATTTTTGCTCACATCATCTATGACGATCCATAAATCGTCCTAGATGATCCACAAATCATCTTGGACGATCAATTAAAAATAGAAACCCTAATTATGACATCCTAGTTAAAGAAGCCGTCATTAAGCTTATTGTCCTGGATGATATTTGTACCGGTCGGGACAATAGGCTAAAATCAGAAAGAATTAGTAGCCAGATCTATTCAGGTATTATTTATTTTTGGACATCGTCCAGGACATCGATGCATCACAATTATGCCTAAATTAATCTGGTAATTAAGAAAAGCAATTAAGATTTGATTGCTTGATCGTATCGTCCTGGACGATCGTAGGATCAGCCGAGACAATTAGTTCATAAAACCTTAGTTGTTCTTGGATGATCAACATCGGCCACCTTCTATTTAGGGCGATGCTCTGGAGTTTTTTATGGATTTGAACTAATAGTTCGGGATGATCGTGAGATCGGCTTGGACGATCCATCGTCCAGACATCATTTCAGTGCTATAACAATGATTTGTACTAATCGTACTGGACAATATGTTATCGTCTTGGACGATATGAATAAATTTCTTCTGATCGTCTCAGATCATCCTGACTGATTGAGCTAAAATTGTATTGATCATACAGGATGATCTCCAGATCGTCCTGGACGATAATGTCGATTTGTTGCATTTAAGAGCTATTCCAAAGCTCTTCTATATAAGATCTCTTGTATCACCCATAAGGGTATCTTTTGCTGCTGTCTTGACATGAGAGAGACTAGAGGATAGAAAGAGAGAGATAGGATCTTGTGAGGGGGAGTTTTTGAGGGAGTTTCACAAATGTTGCTCCAAGCATTGATCCACGTCATATTCTTCCGTCATAGTCCCTTGTCCTTGGAGGGTTGAGAGAGGTCCACTTCAACAATCGATCAAGGTTCTCTGCCTGCTTCAGGAGGAAGCAAAAAGAGTTGGGTTCTGATCTGCCTTATTGGTGTCGGTGGAAAGGAGGTTTTGGAAAGGCTTCTTCGCCTTGTTGTGGGAGCAAAAGAAGAGTCACTGAGTTTAGTGTAATACCCGTAGGGCACCTCCGGGGAGTGGACGTTGGACGAGTTGACCAAACCACTATAAATCTATGTGTTCATTTCTACTGCTTTTTTCGCATTTAATTTCCGCACTTTAAATTTCTTTGTGGTGAATTAGGTTTAGTTTGAGTTTGTGTTTTTGATTGATTTTTTTTAAATACCAATTCACCCCCTCTTGGTTAGCATTGGGCTAGTTCATAAGGGCTTAACATCTCTAACGAACTTTCAGGTACTGCTATGTACTATGAATTACCGAACTCAGTACTTCACAGTACCGAGCTCAGTACTGCTCGATACTATGAATTATCGAACGTAAGCTGTGTACAATGTCCGAATCCAATAATCTCCCGCGGATTGGAAGGTTTATGTTGACTAATGGTTCGAGGCGCAAAACATCTCGCTGCTCCGCTTGCACGTCTGCTCCGCCGATCTTGCTTCACTCACCTGCCACGAGAGATTTTTCGGCGAAATTGCAACCGAAGGGTCGTACATGGCCAAATATGCAAGACCCACTACCACTCTTAGGGGCTGTTTGACAACAAGTGGGATTTAATAAATCCTATAAATTCGGATTTAGTACATTCGAAATGTGTTAAATCATGAAAACTGTTAGGTATGCCAAATGTTAAATCATGTTAAATCTTGAGAAATTGTTTGGTAACATATATCAGGATTTATGACTCTTAGGGATTTAAATTTAAATGAGATATTTATGAAATCAAGATTATTGCATAAAATATAATAAAATCAATTTTAATTCATATAAAATGACAAAAAATTTAATAAAAAGTAAATTACAAACTAACATTTACCAAAATAATAGATGTAGTATTAAATAAGCTAATTATATTAATATTTAATTACTAATTATATCATTACTTAGTCAATTAAGTTAAATTAGATAATTAATTTATGCACTAATTATAATATTAATAATTATATTAATTAAGTAAATCAATAATAACTTTGAGGCCTATATGGTTTGCCTTTCATCTTCGTTGCTTCGCACGAGGTGTAGAGAGATTGCGCGCGTCGCTACTTCGGCTCCCTTCGTGGCTGTTCGACTTCGCTCCTTCGACGACTTTACCTTCCTGTCGGGTTGGAAGTTACGACATTTTGATCGGAAGCAACAACGGGAGCTTGCTGGCTGTGAAGGTTCTCCTTTTCGCGCGCTTCTTCGGCGACTGTTGAGCTTCGGCGATACAGGCGCCGCGGGTAAGTCTTCCGCCTAGTAAATCCGGGATTTAAGCCGTAAATCCGTAAATCCGGGATTTATCGAATCCCGGGATTTAACGCGCGCTATAAAACCGTTTGGCTGGATTTAGCGTAAATCCGACTTAAATCCGACGATAAATCCGATACCAAACAGCCCCCTTAATATTGAGAGGTCTCGCAACTCAAAAACCAGAGTAATTTACCAAGCAGCCTTCTACTTCAGCGTTGGCTCGGAGATGGATGACGAGGATGTAGAGAAAGCGCTGTTCGCTTATTTAAAAAAGAAGGGTTTTTGGCAGACGGAGCGAGCCCTGCATGAGGAGCAGAGTAGGCTTTCCTCTGCTCCGCAGTCGGAAACTGCCCTTTCCCGGTATATGATCACTATTCCCCCTTCATTTTTTTTAAGGTTATGTTTGGTTTGAAAGAATTTGGGGGCTGTAATTAATAGGTTAATTGATTTACCTAAGAACATGAACCTATGCATTTTCCTATTGAACCAACCCATCTAACTCTAGTGAATAATGGATAAAAGGATTATTGATCTGGCCACATATCTCTTCTTTCACATGAAACAAAATTCAATTTTGCATCAACCTAATAAGATGGAGACAATATTTTTCTCATTGAGTTTCTCCTCGACAAGAAAATGTGGTAAATTTTTTTTGATTTTATTCCTTTCTAATTTTCATTATCATTTCCTTTATTTTAATTCCTTTAAACCAAAAGAAGCTTTTAAAATGTTGAAATTGCTATTTTTTTGGTTATTGCACTGATTTCCTTGTTTTTATTTTTTATTTGGAAGCTTATTTGCTTGCTGCCATTAGCGACATACTTTTTATTTGTTTCTGCAAGGCTTAATTCAGTCAAACCCTGTATGTGATCTCATCATTAATTATGCTTGAAATGCTGATAAAAGTATGTAAATGGTCTTGTGGAAGTAGGCTTCATCATACAGATATTGGCAGATGCCATTGCTGTTCTTCTGCCAACTGGAGAGTTTAACTAGTTAAGGTAGAAGTTTCTAACTACATTTTAAAAGGGAAGAAACAAGTGAGGTTTGGCTAGTTCTTGTGTAGAGAAAAAATCTATGGATCTAAAAATTTTAACTTATGCTACAACTTTTCCACTATCATCATACGAGTAATGTTCTTAAACACATTCCATATTGGTTTAGTCCGACCTAAATGAAGTATTTTCTTTTAATATTTGAGGTACTGAATTGTCAACTTTGCGAGTGTTTGACCTTTTAGAATCTGTTTGCATATGTCTTTCACTGTGGGGGAATGATTAATTTTTTATAATGATAGTTTCAAACGTTCTATTCACCAATATTTTTATATTTCTACCTCTGTTTTGTTAAATATTGAAGAAAAAATGTTTTACAGCTCAGAAAGGGGTCCAGCACTGTACCATGATGGTTATAGCAAGCTCAGGTCATGGGCATATGGTTCATTGGATTTATACAAGGTAGGAGCTCTTGGAAAATATTCTCAATTCATACCTCGAAATTGTCTCACATCAAAGAAATGTTTATTATCTCACATTCAAGAAATACAACTTTCATCTTTCTTGTTGAAAATATAAGTTCACTAACAAACACAATATTCAAATGGACAAGATAGAAGCTTCCTTGCTATTTGACTAACTTATGCCACTAAATTTTCATGCTTATGTACTAAAGAAAATTTTTAAAAAATTGACCAGCATCAAAAGAACTGCTAAAACTGTATAGTCGATGCCTTTTTTATTCGATTATGCGTGCCAAGTTGTAGACAATCATGGAGAAATTTATTAGCTTTATTTGCTTGTCCTACAGTAATTTATTATGATTTTGCTCTTCCAAGTGATATTGTTTTAGCTGATGCCTTTTCCATTGGACTTAGCCTAATACTAATTTGAACAATCTAAAAAGCAAAACATTAGGTTTGACCCTTTTTAGTTAACATGATAACTCTTGAAATTTAGACTTTACAACTACTATGGTTGTTGTGCTTCTTGAAAACAATTATGTATTTTTTGCAGCATATTTTGTACTGTATTTTTATTATTTATCTTTAAATAGTTTCACACCATTGGTTATGCTTGAATGGTTTTATTCAAGCAATGTCCCTCATTGGAAATACTTATAATGTTCTTCAGATGTGTTTTGGGCCCATGATGAAATATTTACATTTTCTACAACTAGGGCTACTATAAGATTTCTTTTGTAGTTTGAACCTATAATATTTATATTTTTAATAAAAGTCATGTGGCCGACATTCTTTATTATTCCCTGGTTAACTGATAACAGGAAATGCAAGGCATGCCTATCTCAAGTACTTTGTTAAAATTTCAAATTGTGTTTGAACTTGAAGAAAATATTCATGGTTTTAAGGATCTAGTCTTGTTCAAGTTCAATGCATTTACGCATCACTTTTCTATTAACCTATTGATATTTATGAACCCATTGATGTTAACTGTTTCCACTCAAATGAAATTATTTCAGCATGAGCTTCTGCGGGTACTGTATCCAGTTTTTATACATTGCTTTATGGACCTTGTGGCAGACGGCCACATGCAAGAGGGTACATTTTAGCAAGCCTTTATGTTTTTCCATCTTTAGTATATCATGTTTCACACTATTTATCCCTTTGATGTGTAACCTATATTGGTATATATATAATGGTCAGCTCGAGCATTTTTTCAAACTTTTCGTGAGGACCATGAATTGATGCATCTAAGGGATCTACAAAAGTTAGAGGGGATACTCTCTCCATCACATTTGGAGGTTGTAATGTCAGGAACCTGCTTATGATACCATAACTTATCTAACAATTTGTCACTGACAATGTAATGCTTTATTTCTCTTATGCAGGATATGGATTTGGCTAGATCTTTGAGACATAGCAAAGTTAGCATAAAATTGTGTGAGGTGCCAACTCACCTATGCTTTTGTTTGAACTTTGTTAATTGTTGATGTTTTAGATAAACTTTTTTGCGTCCACACCTTCCAACATTATTTTGTTTGAATTGTGTGGGATTTATTGTTTTAGTTGCACTATCAAGATAAATCTTTTTTAAAGGATGATTTCAAAATATGTATTGAACTTCCAAATTCCTAATTTAATATGAATTTATTGAGGATATTGTTATTATTCTTATTCTTCACTACCTATAGATGCCTTTTAGTTTTGCGTAGGACAACCTCAGGTGATATACAGAAAAATGATCAAGATGACTCTAACAAAACCTTTTTCTTTTCTTGCCATTCCATGTTTACAAATAATCAAATTCTCACACTTGTGAATGATATGTTACTCAAACTTTAAGAGATAAATGACAGTAGTTGAAAAGGGAAACATCGAAAATTGTTCACTAACAATTCATATGTGACCCATTTAATCCAAGAGTCACTACAAAAAATAATAGCTGTTAGGGCACCTTAAAGTGTCATAATATGTATCTATTATGGCACATGATATATTAAGTCATCAAACAATGGTGTCACTTAGGTGGCCGTTGGCATAGGGTTAAGGGCATCTTTTTGTGCCCTAAAAATTAAACTTTCATAACATATAATTTTGCTAGCATAGTCTCCTCAACGACACCTATAAGGTGCCCTAATAGACCAGCTTTTCCAACATGTTTATATGATGGAATTTATTAATAAATATGACAAATATTATGTGTCATAATAGGTTAACTTACCAAACACATTTATTTGATGAAATATGTTTAATAATAAGGCACATTTAAGTTGCCCTATGATATATGATTTCCCAACACTTGAATTTAATAAAATGACATTATTTTATGCCTCAATATATGTATAACTAATATAAATAATATTCAATTATCAATTAATTATGCTAACTCATAATATTTCATTTGCAAAAAAATAATCTCCAATTCAATTATCATGAGAGCTTACATAAGATATATTTTTTTTTTAAAAAAAATTCATAAATATAAAATTACAAGAATTTTTCACCTTAAATACAACAAAAATTCTATTTCAATCTTCATATATGTACATAATCAATCCATTAAAATAAATGTCTTCACAAAACAATACAAGAAAATAAAATAAAATGGCCTTTATCATGAGGCCGTTTTCCTTACACAGTAGCAACCAAGTCTTGGGATTTCTATTTCTACACTTCATTGTCATCCACTGGAGGAAAGTACGTCTCACGATCATCAACTACGCTTTACTTTTATACTTTTGAGGCTGCTTGAAAATATCATTCCACTTGTACATATACTGTAATCAATGATTAAAAATTTCAGTAGTAGTTTATATGCATGACATGACATATCTTATTGTTCAAGATAGATCATTTTAAAGATGCAAAACTATTATGCATGTTATGGTCAATTAAATTATTTGGAAAGCAAAATGAATTTTAAAAATATTTTTAAAAAAGTATATTTTAAATTTGATAAACAACAATGACATGATGAAAAAACAATGTAGGGAAGACAATTGTTGTAGTGTATAAGCTTGCAAATAATTTTTGTTGCATTCATACAGATGATAAGAAACAGTTCAAGTAACATAGATTATACATAGCTATTTTAATCTTAAAATGATCGGCCTTTAACAGATAAGCACGCATAATTTGAAAATTTTAAACAAAGAAAAGAACTTTAATAGATAAACTATACCAGTATGAAGTAACCTACCTCACAATTACGGTAGCTATTTGATTAGTTGTAAGAATTTTCAGAGGTTCATGTTGTCCAAATATTTTGGTCCCCTTCACCACATCTACAAGCCATGCCTTGTATTGAATTCTCATTCATTTGAAAAGAAACCATCTGTTGCACTAGTAAATACCCAAAAGTTATCACTCTTCCATAACATCCAAGTAAACAGCTTTTGCTTTCAAAGCCAAACAAACCATTAACAACCATGATCAATTCGAGTGAACATAGGAAGCATGAAAACTCAAGAATAATCATGACAAGTAATTCCAATAAGATGAACAATTATGGAGGTGTACTGAGAGTTGAACATGCATTGAACTATTTCCAATAAGATATCAGAAAAGATAGACATTAAAATACTTTTATAGTAACGCCAACAAAAATATACAAGAATAAGTGGTATTAGATAACAAACCTTTTTTCAAATGAAATAATGCTACGAGAATACCTATTTCTAACAAAAAAACATTCTATTAGCTTTATCCCTTAATAGAGATCCAGCAATTGTTTTTATAATCTCACGATGAACTATTTTTAACAACAATGAACTATTTCTTATAATCTCACGATGATAAGAATACTGAGGATGAAATGTCTTGATCATATATTTAGAAATTGTTCCAAACATCCCGTTCATGATCTGTTTGAAAGAAATTTTGTAACAAAAATACAAGTTGAGAGAGAAACTGAATTTACTTATTTGAAAAGATCAAAGATGCAGTACTTACGCTTAATATTAAATGGGATTCTTCACGTGATTTCACCTTTGAGCAATGTTGTGCTTACGTACCGAGCAAGTGAGATCTAGAAAATTGAACAGCAAATAAGGCTAATTTCAAAAACTTCATCAATTACTTAGTTTCTGATTGCTCCTGCTTTCTCTCCATTAGTTACGAAGGAGAGTATGTGTAAGCAATGGATTTTTTATGATCAAACGACACAATACATTATCATTACAAAGATTATATCAAACAGTTATAGCAAGGTACCAACCTGAACCGATTGTTTAAAAACATGTACAAACTTTTGTGTGTCATACAGTTAATGCGACTGAATCATTAACAACAAAATAATAATCTTAAGAAAAATTGAGTATGCTTAGAAACACCTGTAACATAGGTGACAATATATGTATTTACTCTTTCCAAGATTATAGGTTCTAGTTGCAAAGAAATAAAAACAAGCCGCTTCTTTGAGACAACATTCTGCCTAACAAGAACATGGAAGAACTAGTGCGGCATATGTATAATTATTGTAGGAAGAATATTTACGACAAAGAGTAAAACTAAAGAGAACATGTTTAGAATTGGGAAAAAATAACTGCATGAACTGAAGTCAAAAGCTCTTCTCCTCTTGTGAACAACATATGCAATACCAAGCCATAAAATCTAATTGCATATGATCCAGCCTGATGCGGAGCATTATAGCATCAGAGCTATCTCCTTATTCAGGCGGAACAAGTTATCCCATTGCTGCTTTAGTTAGTTAGAGGAGTGCCACCTCCACTTTCAATTCTATTTTTTATTACCACAGCATCTTCAAACTCATTATGAATCTGATTAAAATTAATTTTAATGTGTGGTTTTTTTATCCACACATTAGAATTATCCAATCTTGATGAAATAATTGGATTGATGCTCTTATCATTCTTCAATAAATCACTGAAACTGTTTCTTGAAGAAGAAGCCTCCTTGTCATTTGCTCCAGAGATAATAGCCGATGTAGGTGCTTTTGGTATTTTTTCAAACACCGAAATTACCTCTTTCCCTTTACCTGACTCCGTCAAAGGCTTGTGTTTAGAACTCAAACCTTCCCTCTTTGATGACAATAGGAGATTCAAAAACCCGAAGATTGTGAGGGGAGATGCGTTTAAAGGAGAATCTACCTTTTGAATCCAACATAATTGGACTCGCGGTAGAAACAAAGGATTTGGTGTTCCGGTCATCCATAGATGACCGACCACCTTCATCCATCTCCAACTTTGACACCCAAAATCTTCAAATGCTTCTTCGAAAATCCTCCTAATTTTGTGGAGCTTCTCTCTCTTCTCTCTTGACCGAACACTCTTCCAAAGGCTTCCGGGTAATCACACCATGATGAATGATGAACATGTAACAATGATTTATTGGTCACCAACATGTATATAAATCACCAAACAGCCAAACAAAATTTTTTGGACAGCTTATGGTTATGACCAGAATATTTTTATTTGGTGTAAAAAGCTTTAAATTGGAAAACTTTTTCATTGTTGTGTGTATAAAATAGATAGAGAAAATTAAGGAACTAACGATCAAAGAGTACAAAGTTATTTCTCCCTACTATCATCTTATAAATAGTGCAGAAACCCTATAATAATAATCAGAAAAAACATGAATTCAATTGGAGAAGGCCTCTTCTGGAGCTCATATTTCAAGCTAAGCATTAGTTTTTAGAAGATTAGTATACAATACCATTTCACGAATTCGCTTTTGATCCTCTTCACTGAGCAAAATTGCATCTTCATGTGGAGGGAACCTCCATTCTTGAGAGGAAATAAATTATACCAAACTCATCATTCCAGCAACAACACTGTTTTTAATTCTGTCAAGAAAAACTACAGCATTTTTAGAACTTCAAAACTACCTTCAGACATTGATTGTGCAACTCTTAGTGAGAGTAGAACCTGTTCTCAAAATCTCTTCTCCCTCTTCATCATGCACCATCACAATTAGATTTTGTCGGAGCGACGCCACTAGACTACACCATATTAAGAGAATAAAGTTGACTTATAGTATATATTTCCTCTCAAGCCGTAATGAAATAAGCCTACACTGGACTACACAGGTTTGAATCCTCTCCAAAGCAAATGAGCTTCAACATCATCTCTTGTTCTGCAAATGTCATTTCCACAATCTCTACATGAGCATAATATCATTCCATTTCTTTGTTTACAAAGGAGTGCAAACAAAGAAATGTTTTCACTTTCATGGCTTGTATTAAATTGGTTCCAAGTGAGTTTTTTCTGACAAATTAAGAAGGGATGTAAGCTATTCTTTTTTTTTTTTTTTGCATTTTGTGTATTAGCACAAAATGAGAACATTCTATTTAAATAACAAGTTTTATTCAACTTCATATTCTCAAAATTTGTCTTTTAAACTATTAAATGGCTGGGGGTCTAAGGGGGTAGCTCCCCTTGGCGGGGTTCGACCTGCCCGGTTAGGTCGCAGGGTCAAGGGGCAGCGCCCCTGTGGGGGTTTCCCGGGGCAACGCCCCCAGAACAAATTTTAATTGTAAGGATCATTTTGGTTCATGGTTCCCTAATAAATTTGGTCGCAAGGAAAAAAAAAAGGTTGTTAATGAATTTTAAATGCATAGACTTTAACATTAAAACATCAGAAAAGATAAGCAATGCAAGGTTGTCAAAAAACTGCATGCTGGAGAAATAGTCGGCGAAACATTTACCTTTCAGCACTGTAGAAACAGTCGGCGTTCCGTGAACTAAAATTAGACCAACTTCGAACAAGAAAAAGAACTTCAAGATCAACATCCTGATGAACTTCAAGATCAACATAACATTTACCTTTCAGCACTGTAGAAATAGTCGGTGTCCACGAGAGGCAAGTATACGGTCGACCTCAACCTCAAGAACCCTAGACAACGAAAAGAAAAAAAACAAGAAAAGTTTATTAACCGTAGACAGTGGGATTCGACATTCTAAGAAGGATTAAGGCCAGAGATTGAAAGCCATGAGAAGAATTACTTGATGTACTGGCGATTGTCGGTGTAGCAGGAGCGATCGGCGAGAACGAACGCTAGACGAAGAGAACGCACATCGGGCAAAGACGTTCGATGGAGGAGGCAATAGATTTGAATAAGAGCTCTGTTATCGCTCTTCGGCATTAATTCGAAGAAGGATGAAAGAAGCGGGCACAAAACTTATCGCGAAAATTTCTCTTACCGCCAAATAGCTCTGTTAGCGCCAAATCTATATCTTAGCGCAAAATTATAATATGTCCTAATAAATATTTTTTAAGGCACTTCCATAAAACTGCCTTAATATATATGTTGTTAAAAGTTAATTTTCTTGTAGTGAGTGTCACATTTCTTCAATTTAATCCATCGACTACACAAAATCGATCTGAAATGGTTTGTTAGGGACTAAATTGCAGTTAGTTTTGCATGGTCGAGGGATTAAAATGGGATCAATTTAGTATCTCAGTTTCCAGCAATTTCTACCTGAGGGTTCATTTGTGATCAATTTTGTATAGTCGAGGGATTACATTGGAGAAATGTAATACTTTGAAATTAAATTTAGACACACGAATAGTTGGGGGATTATTTTGGACTTTATCTCTGGTTGAAATGTCATAAACTTATAGACCTTATAAAAAGAAGACTATTGAGTTAGAACAATAGAAGGATTTGAGGTTTCCATTAAAAGAATACAATGCAACCCAATAGGGAGGTGAATTTGGTTGTTCAATCAGAACTGAAGAAAATATTCGATTAAAAAAATAATTCACCAAATATACACAAATCACAACAGTCAAAATATTAAGTATATAAATATAAAGAATAAGATAAGAACAATTAGATTGGTTTTACAGTGGTTTGGCCCGACCCATATTGTGTCGACTTTACATGTTCCCTTCATTTGGTTACTACTAGTTGCTTTGTCACAAGTAGCCATAACACTCCTTTACGTTAGTGAGGAGATTCAAGGTGATGAAACTACAAATACTAGCACCGACCAAATAGGTGATGGACTAACTAGTGGATGAGGCAATGCGATGTAATCTCAACATATACAATAGAAGTAAGAAAATTGAATTGCATTGTTGTTTATAAAATTTTATTCGCTAACTTGCTAATATCCTCTGGTTGGATGACCCTCATGTGCACACATGCAATATTAACACTATTTGCAAGCAACAATATCGGTCAAGTTCTTTCGATTGTATTGGAACATCGAAACTAAATAAAGGAAAAGAGTTAGTTCATTTGTCTTTTTGTCTAATCAATCATGAATGCAATGTCTCTTCACTTACTAAGAGATCCATCATCCTTACCATAAGGATTGTGCGATTATGCCATGCCGCACAGTGCTCTTGCAATTCTAAAGTCCCACTTGCACCTCGTACTTTGTATTCATCGAAGACCGTTCTTCGCGCCACTCGCACACCCAAAATCATACTCACATCATCATAAACGTTGATTCACCTCTTGAACTTTGCTTCGTCGTTCGCATGTACAATAACAAACCCTAGCCGCTCACACGCTACTTGTTGGAGATCACTGCACGCTGCTTCAATGCTTCGCCGCTCATAGTTTGAACTTTGCAATCCCTCACTACTCCTTAGTGTATATCTCGCACTTACACGCGAACTGGAATGATAAGTAGCATTGTAAAAAAAGATAATGTATTTACTAAAATTCCCCCCTCAAATACTGAATAGTAGGAGAGTTGCAATATTTTTTGTTAAGTTTGGCGGTTTTGTTAACGAAGGGAACAAATTTGATCAATTTTCAATAGCCAATGGACTAAATTGGGGTATTGCAAAGCTCAGGGATTAAATTGGGTACTTACTAATTGTTGGGGGATTATTTTAGATTTTTTCTTCAATATAACTAAGAACTACGGACTTTGAAAATAATTCACATTTCTAATAACAATATTTATAAAAAAAATATTATTGATATTATTTCATTAGCATAGGAGTTTTTGGAATTGCTTGAAATATATATAAACATAAAATATCCAGGGTAAAAAATTGCTATAAAAAAAGAGAACAACATCTCAATGTCTAGTATACCAAGTTATACAATTTCTTTTGCTTATAATAAAGATTAATAATTAATACAACTTTAGCCTATCAGGTTAGACAATTGCTATATAAATAGAAATGACATACCTTAGATAATTAGGGCCTATATCATTATATTTTTAAAATGTATGTATTTTAGAAATGCATGGGTTGTTTTGTTGGATGAAAATTAAATGCATTGAATTTTTTTTTGTGTGTATTTTTTATTAATTTTAAATACATTGTAATATGGCTAGTGGAGGTTGGCAGAAGTGGGCACCAACAATGACAGTGGGCGGTTGTAATCGGGAAAGGTGAGGTTGCATTCTATGAATTATTTTATACTTTGAATTCAACAAAAATAGGCATTATGGTGTATTCCAAATTCCGTATGCAAAAACTTTATATTTGATCTAATTTAAATAAAACATAAAAAAATCAAAACCTCTCTATTTCTTTAACTTTTTTAGTTTTAATACTTACAACCAAACAACCTCTCAGGAAGAAGCATCTCTTAGCGCCTAAAAGTAACAGGTGTCATAAAAATATCATAGCTAAACACAAAAATATCAATAGAATTGTCATAGCTTAACACGAATTAGAAATATCATACAACAATAATGACAACAAGTATTTATCCCACTGTGGGGTTGACTATATGAATCTTTTTTCTCCGTTGTCGTATTAAGAGTTAAATTCCCATTTAAATTCAAATAAAAAAAAATAGATCATTTTTAATACTTTCTAACAAAGTCTTTTTCAGTTCTACATCAACCTTTCTTAACATAGGTTGTATATAATACATCTACTCTTCTATAAGGTCATCAGAAGGCCAATATTTTATGTGACCAAATCATCTAAGGCAACTCTCTCTTATCTTATCTGTCACTAGAGCTACTCCAACCTTTCCACTTTTATGCTCGTTTTGCATTCTGTCTCTAAATATTAAGCCACTCATCCACCTGCGCATCCTCATCTTTGCAGTACTCAACTTAATTTTATGCTTCTCTTTTAATTACCAAAATTCTATGCCATTAAGCATTGCAAGTTTTATCACTATCTTATAAAATTTTATCTTAAATTTAAGGGGCACTTTTCTATCACACGATATGCTGATGCATTCCTCCCCTTCAACAGTTCAATTTGAATTCTACTAATAATGTCTCCTTTTATTTTACCATTGCTTTGAACAATAGTCCATAAATATCTAAAATGTGTTCTCTTTTTAATGATTTGATCACCCAATGTCATAATCCCACCACTAGTTTTATTACCACTAAAATTGCACTCGATGTATTCAATTTTATATCTACTCAAACGAAAACCTTTAGACTCTTAAGTTTTACATCCTTAATTCATATTTTTCATCAACTCTCTTTCTAGTCTTATCAACAAGAAGAATGTCAGCAGAAAAAAGCATACACCAACACCAAGATACGTCTTCTTGCAAATATCATAGCTAAATACAAATAAAGATTATAGCAAAAACCCCACCCGTTTCTACATTAAATAATTCAATCAATACTGAGCAAAGAAACTAAGCAGTATCAGAGGAGGCAAATAGAGAAGTGACAGAGAAGGAGAGCAACCATTTATTGTGACACTTGACGATGGGTGCTGGATGATTTGGAAGGACGAGAATGATTGAAATGGTTGACGGTCAAGGAAAATGGATACTCTCTTGTCATGAAACGCTGCCACAGCCTCTTGAGAAAAAGGATGAGGGGTGTCTCAAAATTTTGGGCGTTAATATTGGATGAGGGGTAGGACTGGTAGAGGGAAAGTTGATATTTGTTAACCTGCTTTCTCAATGCACTTTCCAGTAGCTATTTTAAAGCAACTGCCCGAAAACAGGTTGACACCGCAGTTTTGGTGAGAGTTGCTTTACATTAAGTAGGAAGTTTTCATCCAAACGCCTCCCAACTGCTGAGCAGCAGTTTTACAGAAAGCAAAACTGGTTGAAAGACAAACCAAATAAGCCCTGAAAGTATATTCAGTCGATACTGAGATATAGCTTTTTGATTGTTATCATAGTTATACATATTTAAATTGGTCACTAAAGAAACTTGAATGTGGCTGATAGATCTACCGATTATTATTTAAAATTTTACTTTCCTGTAGAGAGATGTTCCATGTGATATATTAGTGTGTTATGATCCCACTAGGTTGATACTTGATCACCTTGTTGTGCAAATATTCATTGTGGTTTTAAAATGCAAGTATACTGATAGTTCATTAAAACAACAAAAAAGTTATGTTTTCGTGTGTCAATAGCAGTCCAATTAGAATAACTTTGCTGCGTGTAAAATGCAGCATTTGGTTGGGCAAACTATAACAATTTTTTTCTTACATTGGAACTAGTACTCGTACAATCTGCTTTTGCAATACCTTCAGAAGGCTCAGTCTTTTACCATGCTTGAAGTAATCAATGAGCATATCAACTTTGAAGGTACTAGTCTTCTGTTGTATCTTATTGACACCATCTTTTGATGCTCTCCAGTCCCCTTAAAAAAGTTTTTGTCTTCATTAGCTAATCTAATTTAATTCTTTGTTCTGTTGATAGTATCATCAGTCCAACCCGTCTCAATTTCTGATGACTCGGATGTTATAGCTCTTGTGGGAAACAGCCAGGATTTAGCAAAGCAAGTAAATCGGAAGGAAGTTCGTTGGGGCGTGAGTTTCATCTCCATTTCATTTGTACCATCTTTCATATTTTAAGCGTTATGGATACTAGAAGCATCCTTGGTAGATAACATATATTATTTTATTCATTTTTTATTTGAAATTTGAGTGATTTGAAAGTTTATAATCATTAAGCTGATCTGAAATAGTTGGAATAAGGTTCATGATGATTTCAAATTTTCTGAGCAATGATTTCATGTCCATCATGCAACAGATGGCCTTGACTTTTTTTTTCCTCCTTCTTTCCTTAAAGCATTGCCTTTCTATTTCAAAACTAGCCAAAATTTCTGCGCGGAATGTTTGTTTAGTGGTTTAATTGTGTTTCTCTGTTGCATATGAACTGATCCAAGATTAAATCACTCCCGCTGGGCTTGGCCATGGCTTGGTGGGGAATTCAAGTTGAAAACAAAAGAATGAGCTGACTTCGATTGTCTCAAGTAACATTGCATTTCTGATCTAAATTAAGGTTACCTACCCACCTATGGTCAAAAGTTAGGGCAACTTTATGCATATGGTTCCTTGCGGCTGGGTGCTTCTTGTGATTGTATGTTTGTCACCTCTGTGATTTGACAATTCTTAACGGAGGTCCCTGCAACGGTGGTTTCTTGCAGGATTTCCAAGTAATGTTCCTAATGTTATGGCTTTTCTTCGTTGACTTCTTAGTGCTAACCAATCCTGTTTGATTTTTGTAAGATTTTTAAATAGATATGTCTAAGGTAGGCAACAGAACAATTCTATTATATATATATAATTTTTTGGTGTATAGTTCTTTTATTTATTTATTTTCTTGCGATTTTAAACTTTGATCAAGGAGCTTGAAGCATTCTGGGAGAGATCCCTCGTTTAAATATGAGACATACCAAATGGTTAATTGTTTCCCTTATTAATTCCATCTGTTTTTCTCCTTCTTTGATTTTTATAATTATCAGCTGAAATTTTGATTACCAGTTACAATCTAATTCATGTGAGAATATTTTCACTTTCTAATGGAATTGAGATGAAATTAATGCCACCTATTGAAATTTGTGCAGCAACAACAACAACATCATCAAGCCTTTTATCACAATATGCGGGGTCGGCTACTTGAATCATTTTTTTTTCCATTGTGCCATGTTATGAGTCAAATTCTCATTTAAATCTAATAAAAAAGTAATTTCTAATATTTTCTAACCGAGTCTTTTTAGGCCAACCTCTGTCTTTCTTAATATCTACCAAATCTAATATGTATACTCGCCTAACCGGGTCATGGAAGGCTGACGTTTTATGTGACCAAACCATTTAAGATGAGTCTCTCTAATCTTATTTGCTACTGGAGCATTCCAACATTTTCATGGATATGCTCATTTCGTATTCTGTCTCTAAGAGTAAAGCCTCTCATCCACCTGAGCAACCTCATCTCTACAACACTAACTTAATTTTATGCTTCTCTTTTAATGGCCAACATTATGCACCATAAATTATTGCAGGTCTCACCACTATCTTATAGAATTTTTCCTTAAGTTTGAGGGGTACTTTTCTATATCACAAAAAAGCCTGATGCATTCCTCACTTCAACCATCCAACTTGAATTCTACTAAAAATATCCCCATCTATTTCACCATCACTCTAAACAATAGACCCGAGATATTTATAACGTATACTCTTCTTGTGATTTTGAGAAACATTAGTATCACGTTGTAACCTACACTCAATAACTCTCTCCCTTAGTTTTAAAGTATGATACATTAACTTAATTCCTTTATAATTCACAGTTTCGCACGCTCTTGTGCATCACATTTATTTTTAAAAATAGAAATTAATACACTCCACTCATCTGACTTCTTTTGCTTTTAAAATAATATTGAAAAGTTTCGTAAGCCAAGAAATTTCTTTGTCTCCTAAGCTTTTCCGCACCTCTTTTAAAATATCATAAGGACAAATAGTTTTTCCACGCTTTATTTTCTTTAAAGTCTCTCTAACTTTGGTTTTACTAATATGTCGATAAAATAAAAATCTCTATTTCATTTAAGGTGCTAAGGTCACTAAAGTTAATCATATTCCCACAATCTTCATTGAAAAACTTATCAAAATATCTCATCCACATTTGCTGAATATCCTCTTCTAATAAAAAAACTTTTTGATCTTTATCCTTAATGCACTTCACTTGAACTAAATTGTTACTTCTCATATCTCTTTATTTGACTAATTTATACATACATCTTTTTCTCTCCTTAGTATCTAATATATTATATACATCATTAAAAACTAAAATTTTTGCATGACATATTGCTTTCTTAGACTTCTTACAAACCTCTTTATATTTTTTCCAATTTTTCGATTTTTTACATCTTAACCATTATTTATAACAAATCTTTCTATTTTTTATCTTTTCTTGCACATTTTGATTCCACCAACTATTTTTACTATTTTGAACTTTTCTTTTGACACTCGAAGCACATTATTTGTAACATTCTTAATATCACTAGCTATTTTTTCTCACATAACATTTGCTTCTTCATATACAGTTAGAATCATAACTTCATGAACCTTACTAAAAATATTTTCATTATTGTTCTTTAAATGACCTCATCTAATCTTAGGATAATATTTTCTTTATTTTTCATATTTTGCCCTTTCATCTTAAAGTTCAATACTAATCAACGGTGCTGAGTACATAAACTTTCACTTAGAATAACTTTACAATCTTTGCAATTTAAGCGATCTATTTTTCTTATGAGAAAATAATCAATCGGAGTTTTCTTATATATATTCTTATAAAACGATGAGATGCTCTCTTTTTTTAAATATGTTGTTAGCAATTATAAATTCACAAGTTAGAAAAAAATCTAATATGGTCCTACCTCTTTTATTAGTCGCTCCAAATCCATAACCATTGTGAATGATTTTAAATTTTTCTACCTCTCTACCAACATATCTATTTAAATCTCCTCTAATAAATTTTTTTTTCAAGATGTATCTTTTGTATTAATTCTTCTAAGTTATTCCAAAATTTTCATTTTGAACTATATCCAAACCTACTTGAGGGGTATAAACACTTGTAATATTAATAATCTTAGCATAAAAAATAATCTTTAAACTTATAATTTTATCTCTAATTATATTAATTTCTACAACATTATCCTTGAAATTCTTATATATAATTACACGTACATCATTTATAGTACGACTCCTACCTGAATATCAACTATCAAATTGTGCGTAGGAAATAAATTTTTTGGGATTAATATCTTATTTTCCTGTGAAAGTTGCTAGTATGTTGCATAGATTGATTGCATCTGAATCTCACTGCATTCTAGATGTTCATTAGAAGTGTTAGATCCTTGAATTTCTTACCTCAAATTAATAATTTATTTTGAGAAATGTTATCTTTTTCCTCAAGCATGAGGCTTGCTTAGTTATTTCTTTCACTCCCTCTCTTTTTCTCTTTTATCTTCTTTATCATTTTTACTTGAAAGCATGATTGATTGTCTGCCAAATATATTATAATCTGGTTTCTCTTCTATGCTTGAAGTTTCAGTCACTTGCTTTGCTCATGTTTTTTTTTGTTCCTGTTAATTCTATTAGAAAGCTAATATCCTTTCACTTAACTAGGATTTTAAACGTTTCAAATCTCATTGAACCATGGAAATATTTGTTTTAAGACTAATAGCATTTCTTCTTGTGAAAGTTACGTATTTATTGCTTCAGTTCACTACATCTAAGTTTGCATTGCATTTCGGAACCTTACACAACTTTATCAATTTGATATCAAACTTTAAAATTTAATCATATTGTTTTCTTAAACAGGGTTCAATTTTAGGGCCAATTTATGGATGAACAAATGATGCAATTTTAATAAATCTACAACCATAATGAATTTAACAAAATCAATTTTGGCATGATTCTAGTAGTTATAAATAATATTCATGTAGAGAAAAGGAACAAAATTGTCTCTTAACTCTTTGGGAGGGACCAAAATTGTCTCTTAATCCTTGATCTTTAGTCACTCTAAGCATTCGAGAGAGGTTATCTACTTGTTAAAGCTTGACCGGTCAGTTGTTTCAGTACATGTCAGGAAATCTCTCTCTTTCTCCTTCTAATATATAAATTTTTTCAGTATTGGCTTAAAGCGCACTTTATTCCTATCATATTTGTTCAGACATGATTTCTTGATCGTGTACAAAATTTAACTCGCGTGCATGATTTTGAATTTATTGTTACTAATTTCTATTCAAAGGCCTAAATCTTTTCACTTGAATTGAATTTTAACCATTTTTTAAGTTTTCAACGACTCTAGTAAATAATTACTTTAAGATTAATAGATAATTTTGGTTCAAAAATTGCTTGTTGTTGCATTGGTTGATCATATCCAAACCCTCATTGCATGCTGGATGTGTGCCATCATCAAGGTCAACATTTTGTTTGACATGAATGTTGTGCTAGTCTGGATTTAAAAACTACGCTTTCAAGGTGATGCGATAGACAGTTTTAGAGAATTCTTCATATGAAATTTAAGCTTTTTATAATCCCAATCAACCATGAAGCTGTCCTCCTTAGATGGCATGGATGATAATGCTTCAGTCACTGGTTATTGTTGAATTATATCAAAACTGTATGAACTCCATGGAATGTTTGAGTTCATGGGAAAAATTGAATAGCTTTATTTTTATTCATTCTGCTTATAAGTTCTAGATAAAGAGAGGCTTTTATACTATCCTGGACATGAGCATTCCCCTTTTTTATATTTAATTGCATTGCGCATTTTCTCCCTTGCTGGTCTTTCTTTGTATTCCTATAATTCTTAAATAAGATATGCTGAAGGATGTGCATATTATAGCAGTTACTAGAAGATACTGTTGAAGAACGATTAGAGAAGACATTATCAGATTCAGAGAAAGTTGAAGGTGAAAACAAAGACATGGATCTGGATGATAATAAAGTAAGTACATCTGGTTGCGATTGATCCAGTCTTTTCCTTGGATAATCTCCTTAATTGATATGGTTGATAAATGATTGATCCTTTTCATGCCGTGCAAGTAGTTGTGATGAACTCAACAGATGACCCTTGGCTTGAACCAAGTATAAGTGAAATTTGTAGTCCCACCTAATTATAAAACACCTGCTCAAATAATTTTTTTATTTTTGTAATTAGTCTGGGATGGGCTCATTTTCTTTTTGTTCTTGAAGTTATGGGTGCACCTAATTCAGATGTTTAAGTAGTACAATATGTTATTGCGAAAATGTTACTTAAATTTGGCTGTTTACTTTTTTTTTTCTTTTGTTATTGTTGCCTCGAGCTTTAGTATGAAACACAAATCAGGTACAACAGGCACTAGTCGTCTATTTGATATATCACTTATATTCATAAGTGCTATATATTCGGGCAACTGTCGAAGTCCATTAAAAGAGGAATCCAATTTCTTTGAAATTACCAAAATTTCCTTCCCTTTATTAAACACAATTAACATTATTTTTCTTTTTGATTGTTCTTACTAGAAATGCACAATTGTGAGAGGGAGACTCGACATATTGCTTGCATAATTTTTCCATCTAATGAAAGAAAGTTCTTGCTTATCTTTCTTCTACAGAGTAATAAATAACACTACTTATACAAATTGTCCTTTCAGCTATTGGGATTCTTTCCATGAACTTTAGTTTCATGGAGCATCTTTCTAATATGGAACTTAGTTTGAACCTCAAGTACCAATTGAAATTTCCACTAAGGTACCTAGAGAAAATACTAAATCATTTAGGACTCATCGGATGCTAAACTCCCAATGGTATTCAAATTATATGTAGATGTTCTCAAGGATAACTGCTACACTCTCAATCCCGTGCTTGTGTTGTCCTAGTCCTAGGTGCAATTTAATTATATACGACAAGAAATTGAGTCAATTTAGTCCAGAATGGAGGGCCTTCTTGAACCAATCCTGAGAGTTTAGTCAATGCCTTAACAATAATTGGAACCGAATGACCTATAAATTGGGTGGAAAACAAGGAAGAGTATAATACCTTATTGAATTTATCTTGGTATCCATTATCGTGACCAAAAACGTACTGCAGGCAAAGAAGGTTGACTCAGTGTACATAGGGTGAGATCCCAGGTGAGTTGTAAAATAAAAATGGAGTTTGTTCATTGAGATTTCATTTAATGTCTATCTGAGATGTTGGAGCAGCAATATGCTCTTTATTTGGCCCATATGTTCATTGGCGGATATATATATATATATATATATATAATTTTTTATGCTTATAGAAAAACTCCACCTTCCACATATAAGTTGACTGACGGGCTCAAATTCAAATTGATCCAAGCTCATAGAGGAAATAATGCTGTATCAAATATTGTCAAATAGCCTATCTCAAAGTTCAACACGAAACGGTACATGACAAATTTACTTTGACCAAATGTTTAGTAAAAAAAGGCAGCATTATTATAGTGCAGTTATTATAAAAACCATACGAAGGGATCATTAGCTAAAATTATGACACCATTATAGTAAAAAACGTAGCAAATTCATGTTCCCAATGGCATGGATTTATCATGCTTGATGCGTTAGTTAATGTGCACTTTGTTAATTGTAGTCTATTTGAAATGAGATAGTCTTTGATGGTGTGACATGTTACACATGTAGTTGTTGACAAGAATCTTTTGATCACATGATCATCTTTACTAACTAAATCGACTAGTGCCCATTACTCGGGGTTGATGAAATCATTAATTCTTGATTGGGCTAGTTTTAATCCTCCAACCTTATTGGTATAAAGTTGATGGCCTATTCTCTTGATCTAAAGAGCCACAACATGCATTTACAGAAGGCCTAGTACTGTTGACCTCAATAAAATGTGATCTCTCTTATGGCTTATGTAATTAACCTCGAGTGCTTATGCCCTTGGGATATTATTGCACTATGAAAGTAAAGTGCTCACAAAAGGACAAAATCTCTAAGCACTGCAATATCCACTATTTTAATATGCCTTATAAAAACAATATTCCCTATCTTGCAATGATTCGGTCAACACTTTTTAGAACTAAAAATAAGAGTGTTATTTTGCTAAGTTGTATTGGGGTGAGCCCATTTGTTAGTAACATAGGCTTGTGACTATTGATATCCAAATGGTGAGAATTTTTGGGACTTCTGCGGCCCTTTTTATACATTGTTCTAATGTGATAGGTTATCTCCTTTTACAAGGGTGATGCTTGATTTGATGGCAACTTTTCTTTATACGTTCTTCCTTTAAATATTAATGATGTTTGCATATTTGATTGATTCTTTTATATTTTGATACAACTTAATTTTGGGCCATGACATGATTTTCAATTGGTTAATTTTCAGTTGATCGGATAATTTTAATGTTTTACACATATATGCATTATTTCTAGTTAATGGCTATTCAATTATTAACTGGATAGTTTCTTGGATTATCTGATTCAATAAAATGAAAATATGTAAAAATTAAGAATTTATGATCTATGAAGTTTTATGTATTTGTGTGATTTTGTGTGCTGTTTAAACAAACAGTAGGCTGCAACATCATAATTGTTGTGACATCATGTTAGTTTTTAAAAATTTCTTTTCTCAATCTGATGCAACTTTATAGATTCCTCTGTCACTTAGAGTTACAACTGTCCTATCATGTTTGCAATCACATGCCAAAGTTTTTTTTGCTTTTAGCATTTTTTTATTAAATATTTAGGGGTAGGATTTTCATTATCTCTGAGTTTTATGGCATATTCCATTGCTTCAGCATTTTATAAGTATTGTATGGAATTTTGTTTTAAAGTTATTTTTGTCTTTATTGCTACAAAAGAAAAGGTCTGCAGATGTAGGAAAGCAAGTTGCTGCTTCCAAAAAGCTTAAGAAGGACAAGGTTATTGGTGCAGTGGGTAAAGGTGTCCGTTCTGAGACTAGTACTGTTTCGTTGGCTCCAAGAGTAAAACCAGAACTCACTTTACCCATAATGTATGGTCATAATTTCTACTTATAGTAACATTTTACCCATCAAACTTCCATCTTATTATATGCTTTTTTTGTTTTTTCTCTATAGTGAATTTCTAATAGAAAATATCCTGTGAAATCTGTGAAATAGAAAGTAGAAGTTTATATGCCACTGACATACAAATTAATGCAGAACGTGTAACCAAATGTTATTTTTTACTGAATTCTTTTATTTGAAAGTTTACTCGGAGCTCTAAAGTTAAATTCATTCTGACCGAGACTTGATTTTTCTTATTGAAGATGTATTACATATATTATATGCGAGATTTGGGATTTATGAGTCTTCCTTTATCTAACTAGATATGAATAGTTTAAGTTTCTTTCATGTAAAGCTATGTTTGCAGGAAAAAAGATGTGAAAGGACTTCAGGAGGATTCTGGTGGACAATTGTAGTGGAATAAATTGAGTTCTGAGTGCTGTGATACCTCCTTATGTACTAAAATATGCTTCACTGAGCTATTTACAGTGAATCATGTTATGCATTATAGTTTAATGGCAATTGCATGCTTAAATATTATTTACTTGGGATCAGGTTTGAAGTTATCTTTGCTAAATATGGAATGATGGTTTGCAAGTGTTGGTGAACACCTAACATGGTAATTTATTACATATTAAGTTTGCTGTGAAAAATGTGTCCCTTTTTTAAGGATTTTACGATGCTTATATGCAATTTTCCCTTATAAATTAGAAGCTTGATAAACAAATACTTATTCCTCTTCAAGTCTTTGACTATTCTTGTTTGCGTTTGCTATTCAAAATTTTTTGCTCTTTCTTAGAAGAAATTATATTCCTATATAACTCCAAAAGAAAATAAATCTCAATGCCCCATTGTGATTTTTTTTTTTTTTTGATTGAGCTATAATCTCATTGTAAACTTAAAGTGATTTTTCAAAGCATTTTTGGTGCTTTGAAGCCCAGTATAATATTATTTCAATTCCAAATTGATGAAGGAATTGTTCATTCAGTTTGTTTGTTCATGAACTTGCAAGATGGGTTGTACTTGCAGCTTTACTTCATTACTTCATTATTTCCGCCCATTGTTTTGGTTGATTTACATACTTTCCCTTCTCATATGGACAGCCAGCAAAAGCTCTATAGGTAGGTTTTTACATTATTTTACTAGGGGTATGCTACCTACACTTTGCCAATGATGGTGATGTGCAAAACTATGCTTGCATATTTCATTTTGGTTATCTAGTTCTTTACGGTTATGGCAAATATGAGCAACATCAAAGTTGGAATATACTTTACAAATCCTCAGTGTATTTATCCATCTTTTTGTTTTACATATTAAGCATTAGGTAACGATTTCCACCCTAACTTCTATTACTCGTAGGCTAGGGGATATGTTGCCTTGGTTAGTTAAGTCTTTTTTGCTAATTTGAAGTATTGAGCATATCATATTCGTAACTCCTGTAGATTTTGTTTTCTAGTAGTTATTATAATTCTATTTATGGTTGCTGCGTGCTAGAAAATTCATGATAGTAGAGGGAGTTTTATGTCCTACTTTTGCACAAAGATCCAATGCACACACAAAGATAAAAAAAGAAAAATACAGGAGACAACATAGTTTTTATTTGAAAAACACAGAAAGGAAAAAAACTATAGGGCTTGCCCAGTTGAATTAATCTACAATGTATTTAAAGTTACACCAATTCATTTTTCTCAACAAATGGAGAATACAAATTACAAAATTGGATCCTCTTTCTTGGTCTCCAACAATTTTAGTATAGATTATAGGAGAAATAGTGAAAGGAATAAGGGATCACAATGGAAGATGGACAATGTTAGTCAGACAAAGATTGTCGAATGATGAATGATGGTGATCTAATGGGAAATGGACTATGAAAGCTAGGCGGCGATGGTCAGACATGACAGTCGAGTGATGGCGGTTGAACGGCAGTGGTGGCTTGTAGTCAAATTAACTTTTCATGCATGCATATACTGATGTACATATTTGTGTTACTACTGTCGTGATATTACATTTATAGAACTTTCATGTATAATTACATGTGTGCGCAGGGGCATATTTGTGATCAAGTTCACTAAATCTAGATTACATATCAAAATTTTAATACTGTGTACTTGCTCGCACTTATGTGTATTCCGGGATGTAGAGGTGTGATCTTTGAGCATCCACAAATACATCAGCCTAGCACACTTGAAAGGACTTCAGCATGATTTTCATGGCATTCCATGGAGAAGTAGACTTAACTTGGACTGGTACAATCATTTAGCCTGGCAAAATTTCTAAACAGGACGAGCTGGCTTGCCTACTGAGCAACCTGTCCTATGCTCAGGACAAGCTTAATTTGTAAATGTTTGCAAATTGATTTTGCCATAACTTATGTTTGTTGGGCTGGTTGAGGGTTTTATAGATTAGTAGTTATCAGCTAGTTATAAAAGGTTCTATTCTACAATTGAGTTGAGCATTGTCCGGAAATAATTTTCAGGCCAAGTGAAGTGGAGCAGTCTATTCTAGATGACCTAAGAAATCGTGTGCAATTGAGCAGCTTGGCGTTGCCATCTGTAAGCTTCTATACCTTCATCAACACACATAATGGGTAATTATGACTGAAATTTTCTCTATTTTGTACTTTTATAAATATCAACTATCCTTGTTACTCATCTGTATTTCTTTGTAGATTGAACTGTGCGTCCATTTCTTCTGATGGCTCATTGGTTGCTGGTGGATTTTCTGACTCGTCTTTAAAGGTTGTTTTTCATGGTAATATTTTTCTGTTTGCTTTGTTTTTGTGTTTCAGAATTTGAAATTTCTTTTTTGATATCTATAGGTATGGGACATGTCAAAAATTGGTCAGCCTGCTAAAACAGGTAAGCACTGATAGTATTTCTCATATTAACTGGTCAAAATACTCTGGTGTAGTAGTCATGATTATTAATGAAGAGTGCTATCCCATATTTTATGAAAATAAACATTAGCGCACCACTTAGCTAGCTAGCATGCAGGCTAGCAAGAAATTGTAAAACGTTAATTAAACTCAAGCAATCATAAAATGTTTTGAATTTTAGCGTATTTACTAGATTGATGAGTAAAGTTCAAGTAGTATAATGTAGACACACTAATTAAATTCAAGCAACTATTAAACATTTGAGTTTTTGGTGTATTTATTAAACTTACAGTTGAAGTTCAGGTAGTATAAAATAAGAAAAAGATTGAAACAATACTTTTTTTTTTGTGGAGCTAGCAATGCTTTATAGAAGACAATCTCGAAATAAACTGAAGGGCTTTTAACCACTTTTATTTTTTGGTGCAATTTTTTTGTAACACTAATATCTTGCATATTTATAAAAGTAACACCCACGTATTTTTATTTTATAATAATACAACTTAAAACCTTGAAGTGTACAATACAATTATTAGCCTTTTACCTTTTGTTCTTAATGATTTGTTTAATTCTTAATAATTTAATTGTATATGTACAAATGAACTAGCTCAACATTTCATTTTAAATTCTTTGGCGTTAGTTTATATATATAAGATTTCATGAACATGTAGTTAAATCTCTATTTTTTGTGTTATTTGATGCACAAAGTTTTCAGTCCTTAAACTTTTCACTTGGATGAGACCCCCAAAAAAAACAAAAAAGGTTCGAGCACTAATGTTGCGTAAAAAATTAAAGATAACATTATAAGCCTAATTTCTTAGTTATTATGGTTATTTCAATATTTTCTTAATGATATGATTTATCAATTTTTATTTTACATCTACTGATACATTTTGCCATAATTTTGTGAGATGGCGTGGCCTTTGCATGTAATCTCTATAAATAAATATTTTTAATACTTTCTTTTTCTTGTGTATATTGTATAGGATAAAATGCTAGTCTGTGTGTGCAGACACTTGTGTATTGAACGTTGTTCCTCTTACAAAGAGAATGACTATTTTCCCCTCAATTTGATTTTAGACGTGCTGCTTTTATGTTCTCTTTGAACTCAAGTCAAAACTGTTGATTGTAATTTAGAATTTAAGAGTTAAATGTTGATCAGATCTCTTCAATTTCTATGATGATTTAACCATTCATGTGAAAAGTACAAGGATGTTCAGATGGCATAATAATACTTTGGGGTTTTGGTCGATAATGAAGCGCTACTTTGTAATTTATATTCCATAAAAATACTATGCATTTGTTGCTGCATATCGGTAATTGATGAATTAACTAATAAATTGCATTTTGCAGTCTCGATGCAGGGAGAAAATGAATCTTCTCAAAATGAGATCTTCTTAGGGTCTGATGAGGGTAAAAGATCTTACACATTGTTCCAGGGTCATTCAGGACCAGTTTATTCTTCTTCATTTTGTCCTACAGGAGAGTTTCTCTTGTCTTCTTCTGCTGACTCAACAAGTATGTCTTCTGTCGTGATGTTTTCATTGCATGTTATGCATATTTATTAAATATCCTCTATTTTGTTGAATTGTTGGATCATTCACTGAGAAGGAAAAACATTTCTACTCTCTTTTCTCAAATCTTGGAGTTGGATTTCTAGGAACAATTTTGTGGGCGTATTCATTTGGTAGTCTTAAGAGGTTTTGCAGCCTTAGCATTAATCATGTACTTACCGATGCTATTATTTAAATGCTTTAGTTCGACTATGGAGTACCAGGTTGAATGCAAATCTGGTCTGCTACAAAGGTCACAATTACCCTGTGTGGGATATTCAGGTTTGCATTTTTAATAAAATCATTTTCTTTTGTTTCCTTTTAAATGACAATTATTTGAAATTTGCAAGCTTTATTTTTAATTTTCTTTCTATGATTCCTGCAATGCAAGGAAAGCTGGGTCACACATGCGGATCTGTAATTGTAGGAGTTGTGCTAGTTTTGCCCGTTTTCCGTTAGTGTTATTTATATGATAAGACGCTTCAAGTTAATGCTAATATGATTATGTAGGCGAAGATGGATACAGCATAATTTGCGTGTCCAATATGTATAAGCTTGGGGTTTAATTTGGGCCTAGATCTATTTGGGCCTAGGTTCGCTCTTATGGTCTGCTACATAATTTTCTCCTCTCTTTTTAGGCCTAGATCTATTTGGGCAAGCTTTCACATTGCTTTTCATATCGTAGGCACACTGCCATTTGGTTCTTGCATTCTGGCTATTTTTCTACAATTTATGTATAGAAATATGCTTTTTACATTTAGATCTACTAGAGTGTAGTAGCTATAAGAAACATGATATTCAGTTTTTTCAAAAAAGAAAAAAGAAATATTATGTTACCAACAACAGATTTCATTGAATTTATTTTTTTCCGAAATAATTTTACAACTATTTTATGCAGACCTATAGCCACTCCAACCGAATCCTTAGATTTTCATTAGTGAAAACAAGATGGGTGAGAACCATGCCGTTCATTGTCTTAATGGGTGTTCATGCCATTGAGCATTTTTGGTAGCCTATAGTTTGCCAAATGTTGATGTGAGTTTTCATGAAGGTTCGCTCTTAGTGATGTATCATGTAGCATAAGAAATTCGGTTTAATTAGGATTTAAACTATCTCATTAAACCAAGATTTTATGTTTTTATTTTAATAGAAACTGTGAACAATCGCCCTTTTGGTAATATTTAGTTTGAACTTTGAATTATTTAGGTATTGGTTGATGATTCAGTGGATAAAGTCAAATCAAATACATTAAAGCTGAGCTATTACTAGAACTTTTTGAATTTTTAAATGTGTATTTTCATCCAATTGATTGTAATCCATTATATCATCATATTTTCCTTGCATTTACCTTCTTTAGAGTTGGTGGACAAAATCATTCTTAGATTGACCAGGACCTTACTAAATTCTTTGAATTACAAATTTCTTTAGTTATCATTTGTTTGTATAGCTTATAGAAAGCTTCTAACAATAATTACAACATAAATCATTCTAAATTCTTTCCCAAGATCATTAATGAAACATGCAAAATGATCTCTTAACAAATAATGCTTTGCTACATAATTTTCAAACTTATTGAAATATTCAAATATTATGGTTACTTTGAAGTTTTTAAATTAGTCGTCAAATTGGTAACCATAGCACATAAGTGGAAAATATTAGTTTTAAGTTTATGTTTCATTTTAGCGCATATCTGTTTTACTTATACTAGTTCGCCAAAATATTTGATTTGATCAAATTAACTTTGTTTTAGCATATTCAATCCTTGAAAATCAAAATATATTGTACCTTTTAAAAAGTTCTTTGAACTCCGTCCAAATTGAAATTATCTCGGGATTAGCTCTCCCATCAACTGTAGAAATATTATTGTTAACTCTGCAATAATTATATTGGAATTGTGTAGAATCATAGCTTAAATTGCATTTCAGTTAATCATTTTTGTTGATCTATCAAAATTGCTTTTGCTTTCCTGTTCACTAGCCCAATGTTAGGCCCTACTTGAAAATATTGTGGTATAGTCTTAAGTTCTGATATCAAATTTAGTGTTGATGATTCTAATGTCTAGATTTTTTTAATGCTAATATAGCATTATAAATTAGATTTTGAGTCCATTACCCAACACAACATGCATTTATCGTGGAAAACTAGCTATATTAATACGAGAACAATCAAGTGGTACTATTGATGAAAACTGGAAAAATGGTCAATCCAACTTGTACAAAAAAGTCTTCTATTTAAAATTAATAATAGAAGGTTAGGGATCATAGAAGCCACGCAACTCTAAAATTTCATCAAGAAAGAAAATCCAATTGTCATAAATTTAACAAAAACTCTGTTTCTCTTTCGTCCACTAACGAAAAAACTATTAGAATAAAATGAATGAGGAGAGAAAAGAGAAAAAAGTCATCAAAAGAAAAGACTAATGCTTGTATGAGGAGATAACCTCTTTCATGATTCTTCACGGTTTCACATTAAATTAAGGATTAGAATCCCTTGAGAAGAAGAATGATTTGGACATCCAAAAGTAGGTTTTTATAAACCATAAAATTATATTTACATGCCTCATATACTTTTTAAAATTAGAATGAGAAGAGAGGAGAGTGGAAAATGGGAGATTGAACTATTAGATCTCATAATAATTTGTCTGATTTTCTATGCATTTTCAAATTATTGTTTGCATTCTTTAATTCTGCGAGCATTACCATTATCTCTCCTCCGAAATCTCTATTATAATTTTTGTGGTCATCTCTTCATGTTAAATGTGGTTCTTCTTCAAAACTAACCGTCTCTTACATCATCTGCTTCATTTATCCAGTTTGGTCCATTTGGTCACTACTTTGTCAGTGCTTCCCATGACCGAACTGCTAGGATTTGGTCAATGGAGAGAATTCAACCGTTGAGAATAATGGCTGGGCATCTTTCTGATGTTGATGTAAGACTTACTCATTTCATTGGTGACTTTTGTCTTTCCAACTATCCAATTTTTTTTCAAAGGAAAGTTAAAAAAAAAAATGCCAATAGATATATTATACCACCTGCTCACAATTTTTGCAATCAAACCTTTTTTGTCACAGGTTTTAGCAATAACAAAATCTTTTAATTTTGTTGTGGCTTTCAAGTATAGTTATTGCATGAATATGTGCTTAATTGCAATTTAAAAATTTATGTCTCACAGTGTGTTCAATGGCATGCGAATTGTAACTACATTGCTACCGGTTCAAGTGACAAAACAGTCAGATTATGGGATGTCCAAACAGGAGAAAGTGTTCGCATATTTATTGGTCATAGAAGCATGATACTGTCATTAGCAATGTCTCCTGATGGACGGTATATGGCTTCTGGTGATGAAGATGGTACTATTATGATGTGGGATCTTTCCACAGGGCGGTGTGTATCTCCGCTAATGGGTCATAACTCTTGCGTGTGGACTCTGGCTTTTAGGTTTGCATTGCATTTATTTATACGTTATTTAGCTTTTTGTTTTCTTCTAAACTTATCTCATGTAAGGGAAATATGTGCATATGTTGGTGGAATTCTTAGATTTTACTGATTTATAGAGTTTCTCTTAATAAATTTAGAATAATGGTTATTGTGCTCTGTGATGTTCCAGAATCTAATTTGAAAGAATTATTCTTTTAATCTTTTAATAAATAACAATCAGAGCTATCTAATATCATCTATCAGTAATGAACGTCAAAACAGATTCTATAACTTAAAACATTAATGTACACATCTATATTCAATCCCAAAAATTACAAAAAAAAAATTAGTGCAAGTAAAATACTACAAAAACAACATTATGGCGAAGACGGTTTACGATTTGGAGTCGTATTGACTCCCAAAAAAATTATTTACCATGGTCAAAATACAGGTTATGAGATGCTTTGACTTTGTTGTCATAAAATAAACTTATAGCCTTCAAAATACACTTTGGTATTATTAATATTTTTGGCTCATCTAATTGCTTGAAGATAGCAAACATGTTTTGAAAAATAACGAAGTTTTTTACATTTTAATTCTGGTTGGACATATTTATACACCAACTTTGATTTTAAATTAAACAAATCTTCTCAAAATTCTGTTGCACACAGATCGCCAAGCACCTGCACAAATGACGCCAAGCCAAAGAAAAATTGGAGATCGGAGAAGACAAGAAAAATACTCACCGAAATAACTCTGTATTTCTGTATTACTATCTTCTGTAAAAGTTTTTCAAAAAGCTACCAAAACCTTTTGCTATGTTTCCTATATACTCCCCCTCCTCCGGTGATATACTAAAAATAGCTACTATATTGAAAAAGTGCACTTGTACTGTAAAAACAGAAAAGTAGTAAAAAAGATAGTGGTAAGCAGAGTTTATTAGAAAGGATATAAAGTGCGGGAGTTCCTCTTCCTTATCCTGCTCTGTATCAGTCCTCCCCGGCTTCAGAAGAGCTCGACTCCGACGAGCTAATTGTGACGATAGCGTCATCCGGCGAGTTGTAACGAACTATATCACGGACATTGAATGTTGGAGAAGTGTTGCAATCAGCTGGTAATTCAACGGTATAGGCATTATCATTGATCTTGGCAATGATCGGGACTGGGCCAAGCTTGCGGCGTGTCAATTTCGAATAGGCTCCGGGAGGAAATCTTTCTTTGCGGAGACGCACCATGACCAAATCTCCAACCTTGAACAGCTGTTGTCGCCTATGCATATCGACACCCTTCTTGTAGCGCTGATTTGCACTTATAATTTGTTGCCGCACTTCCTTCAACATGTTAGAGTAATCTTCAGTAAAAGAGGTGGCAGTAGTTGATTTGCTTTTCGGTAAGATCACGAGGTCCATGGCAATGTTGGGAGCTTTAGTATAGACGATACTAAAGGGAGCCTTACCTGTAGATCGGTTAGTCATAGCATTGTAAGCAAATTCAGCTCTACTTAATACCTCTTCCCACCGCTTTGGATGATCTTGTACCAAGCACCGGAGCATATTGCCCAAGGTGCGGTTGACAACTTCGGTTTGGCCATCGGATTGTGGGTGATATGCTGAACTGAGACGAAGGTCAGTACCGAGTCGCTTCCATAACTCCCGCCAAAAATGGCTTACAAACTTCACGTCTCTATCCGACGTAATGCTGCGAGGCAGCCCGTGGAGGCGAACAACTTCGTCAAAAAAAATCTTTGCGATGTGCATAGCATTGGAGGTCTTCTTACAAGAAACGAAGTGTGCCATCTTGGAGAACCTGTCAACGACGACCAATATTGAGTCGCTACCGCGTTTGGTTCTTGGTAATCCAAGGACGAAATCCATGCTAAGATCTTCCCATATTGACTCAGGTACCGGTAGCGGCATGTAAGGTCCAGTATTTTGTGTTCCTCCCTTATAGATTTGGCAAACCGGGCAGCTGTCCACAATTCGGTAGACATCACGTCGTAATCGTGGCCAGTAGAACCGCGACTACAGCTGTCGAAGGGTATTTTCTCTTCCTACATGAGCTGCTAAGGCTCCTCCGTGAGTCTCACGAATAAGTTGTTGTCTCCATGACGAGATCGAAACGCACAACATGTTTTGTCTGATAAGGTAGCCGTGCTGTATGGAGAATTCTCCACTATCTTGTTGTTCTTGACACTGTGCCTAGATTTTCCCAAAATCAGAATCTGTCGTGTATAGCTCCTTTAAATATTCAAGACCCGTAATTTGTGTCTGCACATTGGCTAATAATATGCGTTTACGACTTAGAGCGTCGGCTACGCGATTTTCAACACCTGGCTTATGTTTGATTATGAATGAAAATCTTTGTAGGAACATTAGCCAACGAGCGTGCATACGGCTAACTATCTTTTGGCCGTTGATAAACGATAGAGCCTTGTTATCACTACAAAGTATGAATTGATTGTGTAGCAAATAGTGTTCCCACTGTTTTAATGCCCGAACAATAGCGTAGAATTCCTGCTCATAAGCTGTCCACTTCTGCCGAGTGTCACAAAGCTTTTCGCTAAAATAGGCTACGGGTCGGTTCTCCTGTGACATAACAGCTCCAATCCCGACGGACGAAGCATCAGCGTCAACTGTAAATAACTTTTCAAAAATGGGTAGAGCAAGAACAGGGGCTGAGCTAAGTGCTCTCTTCATCTCTTCAAAGCTATGTTGCTGTTCTTCACCCCATAGGAATACTTTGGATTTGAGACAGTTTGTAACAGGTGCCATTATAATGTTGAAGTTCCTAATAAACTTGCGATAGAAGTTTGCCATGCCGTGGAAGCTTCGTACCTCAAAAAAAGTTTGCGGAGCAGGCCAATCTGTAATCGCTGAGACCTTTTTTGGATCCATGTGAATTCCTTCTGCCGAGATGATAAACCCGAGAAAGCCCACTCGGTTAACTCCCAGTTCGCATTTGGGAAGATTTATGAACAATTTCTGTTGCTTTAAGACTTCGAGCAGCATAGACAAGTGCCCCAAATGCTGCTGCCATGAGGTGCTATACACCAAGATGTCATCGAAGTAAACGATGCAGAATTTGCCTATGAAGGGCTTCAACACTTCGGTCATCATTCTCATGAAGGTGGACGGTGCGTAACACAGTCCAAACGGCATGACTTTCCATTCATATAGTCCTTGGGGTGTTTTGAATGCCGTCTTCCATTCGTCCCCATGACGTATACAGATTTGATGATATCCTCTACGTAAATCCAGTTTGGAGAATATAACAGCGCCCGTTAGCTGATCTAACAATTCCTCAATGCGTGGTACCGGAAATCTATACTTAACTGTGATCTTGTTAATAGCTCTACTGTCAATGCACATTCTCCAATTCCCATCTTTCTTCGGAACCAGTAAGGCGGGCACGGCGCACGGGCTAATGCTCACTTGGATCAGTTGCTTTTCCAACAAATCGTCGATTATATCATGCAGGATTCTCTGCTCTATTGGATTGAGACGATAATGAGGAATATTTGGTAAGCTGGAACCGGGAAGGAATTCTATTTGGTGTTGTATGTCACGGAGAGGTGGTAGTTGAGCAGGTAGCTCCTCAGGTACGACGTCTTGATACTGTCGCAACAGATTGCGAATATCAACATGTAATTCCTTCCTCTCCGAATTAGTGCTCTGTTCGGTTATCAAAAGTGCAAAGATGGGGGATGGCTCCCGCCAGCATTGAAGTAATACAGAGCCTGTGACAAAGTGTATAGCTGTTTGCCTTGGCTGCACGGTACTGGGCACCTTATCGTCGTGAGAGCCGGGTAGTAAGCGTAAGCGTTTGCCCTTCCAGTCGAAGGAGTATATATTTGCTCTACAATCATAAGTGGCCCCTGCGTCGAATTGCCACGGTCTCCCCAAAATAAGATGACAAACATCCATTTCCAACACATAACATACAATTTCACAGATAATTGCTTCCCAATGGAGAACGTCACGCGGCAAGATTCGGTTACAGGCTTACAGCAATTTCGACGCCTCTTTTGACCCAACTTATCTTGTAAGGATTGTGGTTCTTTGACGTCTTCAATTGTAATTTTTGAACAACTGACCTTGAAATTATGTTTTATGTACATCCACTGTCGATCAGAAGGTCGTATACTTTACCATTAATGGTGCACCGCGTCCGGAACAAGGCATGGCGTTGAGAGTTGATGTTTTGTCTTGGAGCTAATAATAATTTTTCCAGAATGTATGCCACGGGTTCTCCTTCATCAGCTAGGAGGTCTTCCGTCTCCAATTCATCTCCTTCTTCGGTTTCTCCTTGTTCTCCTTCCTCTCCGCCTTCTAAAACATGAGCCTGTTGTCTTTGCGGGCATTCGTTCGATTTATGTCCGGGCTGTAGACAACTAAAACATTTGATCGTAGAGGGGCGCACATACGGATCCTCCTTACCTTGGGGCCTCTGTTTGGGTGGGTATTTTGGATCCACGCTGGAAGAAGCTCCATTCGCAGGAGCATTGATTATCTGAGGGGATTGAGAAGTTTTCGGACCTGGTGGAGTTGCCCGATTTGGTCCTGTCAATGGTTCTTTCCAATGTCTGCGATTATAAGTACCCCTCGCTTGTCTATTTTGCTGCATTTCGATCCTCATAGCAAAATTGACGGCTTGAGACATAGACCACACGGAATTCAGTTCCAGGCGATCCTGGATATTGCCTTTGAGACCTCCTATGTATCGGGCAACCATTTGGTTGTTTGATTCGTTCAAATTATTTCGGGCACTTAGTCGATTGAATTCCTCCGTGTAGTCACTTACTGATCTGGTGCCTTGGACACAATGTTGATATCGTAAGTACAGAATTTGTTCAAAATCAGAGGGCAAGAACTGAGATCTTAGCAGCTGCTTCATCCGTGTCCAATTGCGCACGGAACCTTTCCTTCTCTTTGCCTTGTTTGAACTATTTGTTCCCACCAAGCACTAGCGCGCCCTTCAATCTACATGCGACGTACTTCACTTGTTTGTTTGGAGCAATTTCCATGTAGTCAAAGAAATTTTCAACTGATTTTACCCAATCAAGATAATCTTCAATGTGTATTCGACCGTCGAAAAATGGGATGTCTTACTTCACTTTAAATTCACCTGGGTTCTGTTGAGGGAGTTGTCGCCGCGGCCTCTGCCAATCCCTGCGGTATTGATTTCCAGCTTCTTCTTCTTCCGATTCGACGAAGTCAGCTTCCCTGTGTATAAAATCATCCTCCTCTGAATCCGATAGTTGTGGTATCGGCATTGGTGGAGGTCGGCCACCTCGACCCGCAGCTATCCCCCGCCTGTGCAATGGTCTTACAACAGGAATCTCGTCTCTGTTCCGTCTCGGTTGTGGAGGTCCCGCCCTCAGAAGATTGAACTCCCTGCGCATTTCCACTCCCAACCGTTGTATATCCGTCTCCAGCGCGTCAATCTGACGATTGGCGTGATCCTGGTTTGCCCATAATGATTCAAGGTTCCGCCCTTCCTCCGTTGCAGGCTCCTTTCCTCGCTCCGTCATCTTCTTCAGGTAGTGGCTCTGATACTAGCTGTTGCACACAGATCGCCAAGCACCTGCACAAATGACGCCAAGCCAAAGAAAAATTGGAGACCGGAGAAGACAAGAAAAATACTCACCGAAATAACTCTGTATTTCTGTATTACTATCTTCTGTAAAAGTTTTTCAAAAAGCTACCAAAACCTTTTGCTATGTTTCCTATATACTCCCCCCTCCTCCGGTGATATACTAAAAATAGCTACTATATTGAAAAAGTGCACTTGTACTGTAAAAACAGAAAAAGTAGTAAAAAAGATAGTGGTAAGCAGAGTTTGTTAGAAAGGATATAAAGTGCCGGAGTTCCTCTTCCTTATCCTGCTCTGCATCAAATTCCATTAAAAAATGATTTTATTTTCACATTCAAAATGAGTGAAAATAAAGTCATCATTTCTAGAACATTTTTCTATTCACAAGAAGCCAACTGAACCATTAGATAGAATTAACAGTTCTTTGTTTAGCCCTCACATCTTTTTAAGCTAGTGCAAATCTTATCATTTTACTGTCAAAAATGCGATGAACTTCACTGAGTTTAACTTTATGACCAGATTGATTCTTCCACTTCACTTTCCTAGAAGCTTTGTACTTTTCTGGTGAACTTTCACCTCTATCGAACATCATAAGACAAATAATTTGGCTTTACCTACATAAAATGCCAGCCTCTTACAACTGTAATGCAACTGCATGCTTTCAGATAATCTATAAATAAGTCATTAGCGCACTCACGACTACCTTCATATTTAAAGCATTTTGATACACTTGATTTATTCCATCTAATTACAGCGGCGAAGGAACAGTTCTTGCTTCTGGATCTGCTGATGGCACTGTTAAGTTATGGGACGTCACTTCCAGCAACAAGACAACAAAGATGGATGACAAGTAAGTTTATTAAGGAATTTTTACCTACATAACACCTAAAACTATTGAAAATATATATTTAGCACCTAAACTTCTATATTTACTAATATACCACCTAAAATCCCTCTTTTAATTAATTCTAACAGTCCGTTTAAACCTTATGTCAAAAGTCACTATCGACAACGTCTTCCCCATCAATGACATCCTTTCATAGTGAATACAAGTATCTCATCGTTTCAATGGAGTGGTAGAATAGAAGGAAAATGAGATTTTAGGTGGTATATTAGTAAATATAGAAGTTTAGGTGTTAAATAATTCATTATGAAATGACTTTGCTTTATTTTTACCAACTAAGAGGCCATTTTCCTTAAAATGATTTCAGCAAAGGTAGCAGTGGTAACAGACTCAGATTACTGAAAGCTTTTCCAACAAAATCAACCCCAGTATATACATTGCAGGTAAGATATCCCAGTCCTCATGTTCTTAAGCTATGCTTCTCGAGCCCCCAATGTCTTTGACCTATGACTTACAACACAAGAAAATCTGCAGAAAATAGTCAGAAGAACGTTATAATTTTAAGTTTTGTTTGGGATGGCTTTCTTACTGCTTCTTAAAGCAGTTTTTTAGTACATAAATTTTAAATTTTTGTACTAAAAATCTGCTTTAAGAAACAGTAAGAAAGCCATTCCAAACGAAGCCTTAGAGAAATCACTTGAGGCATAGTCAACTTGTCATTGATGTTTCTTTGCGACAAATGAGATTTAGAACATGAAGATCTATTTTGTTTTACAGCTTTTACTCAAAAAAAAAAAAAAAAAATCACCAATGATTAGTGTTTCTTATTTTCAAGCAGTTCTCCCGGAGGAATCTGTTATTTGCAGCTGGTGCATTTTCGATAAGCGGCTGAAAGTTGGAGCAGGAAGCATCACTGCCTTGCCTTAAGAAATCAAAAAAGTTGGCCATCTCCTTTTAGCTTCCTCTCACCAACTGTTCATCCACGATGTTTTTTTTTTCTTCTCTTCTCTCTCTCTTTTTTTTTTTTTTCAATAGCAAAATTGTTCTATGCCCAGCCTGTGTGACTGGAAGTAATATTCCCAGCTCATGCATAATTTTATTTAAATTAAATGTATTTTTAACTATTTATGTAGAAGAAATCAAAGAGCTGTTGTCACTCTCGCTTCCCTTTCGTGGATCTCAGTTTTTTTTGTAACACTTTAGATTCATTTGAATCCAACATCATCGTGAGTTTTGAAACGGTTGGAATTGCTTTGAGATGAGTGTTGAGGGATCAATAAGAACTTATGAATTGTATCTATAAGTTAGACTTTGTTTGAGATAACTTTTTTATTACTTAGGAAAGCTGTCTCAAACGAAATCTTAATAAAGCTGTTTCAAAAGAATTGTATTTATAGAAAATAAAAGATTTATTAAAATTTATACATATTTAAGATATTTGATTGTATGTAATTAGAGATTTAAACTGATTTCAAATTTTATAAATTTGGTAGTTGCTTTAAAACTTCAATCACAAAATTTTTTCTTACAAGCCTTAACAAATTTCTTAATGAAATTAACAATTTATTTTGGTAGAGAAAAACCATGAGATGAAACTACAACATCCTTAGCAAGTAAATGCTTCATTGCATTGAATTATTCAACTTCTTTTAAATTTTTGAATTTATATAAAATATTTAGATTATATTTTTTATTCCCATTTTTTAATATTATGGTTGATGGTCAACGGTGGTGATGATAAATTGTGGCAAACCGTGGCAGATGGTGGTTGACTAGTTGTACGTGTTGCTAGTGGTGGTGGCAGTTGCTGGTGGCGGTTGGTGGTGCTCGACTAATGATTATGGTAGTGGGTGGTGATCAATATGATGAATTTATAGTGTATTTAGAATTAGTCCAAATTTAAGGAATTTTAAATATATCAAAAAGCATTAAACAATGAATTTCAAGTGCACTAAAATTTTTGTATTTAAAATATTTTAAGACTATTTTATTTTAAATCAAACGGCTAAAGGATTCATTTAGTAATGTTTTCAAATATTTAATTTTAAAAGATAACCGCCATTATTTTGATTGATGTGGAAAACATATTGCAGGCTATGTTGTATATTAATTTATAATAGTATTTTTATATTGCATGCCATATTAAAGAGAAGCAATTCCAGTAACATATATTTTTTTATTTTGAAAATTTAAAATTTTAAAAATATAGTATTTATCTAAAAAATGGCTGTATGCCTTGCTCTTTTTTTTTTAATTTACAAAATATTTGATGCAGATTTCTAACTTTTTCTATTATTTTTTTATCATAATATAGATTTTATAAATATTGAGATAAAAATTTTCATAAGTATTTATCTGAAATAAATAAATAAATTATTTATTAACTATATAAAAAGTAATAGTAATTAGATTCTAAGAAAATAAAAAGTTAATAAAATTATAAATATTTTTTTACTAATCATAATAATTAATACCTTAGGAAAATATCCTCTCTCTCTTTTTTTTTTTTTTAATTTCCTATTTTGGCACGTCTATAATCACTCGCCACGGCCCCGACCTATCGGTTCTTCTTGGCTGGCGCGGACAGTACGTAGCTGATAGGCAGCCAAAGTGGATTCATGGCGGCAGCGCCTGTATTTGGATTCTGCCTCCATTATCGCTCAAAGGTAAACGACTCTGTTGCTTCCTTCTGCTTTCTTCTCTTAGAATTGTGTTAGGGCCTGCCGTCTTTCCTCTTCATTGTCTCCTCTCCTTCTTGTTAACATTGTAGATTAATTTCGATTCGTAGGGCGTGGCTCAGCAGCGGTGGGATATTTTGGTGGACTCGAGCTTTCGAACTTGGAGGGGGTATTCTCTTGTCTCGCCTCCCAAATGTGGAAAGAGGTTTTGAGCTTATTATGTTATCCACTTTTAGTGATTGCTGATGCTCCGCTGTAACTTGCATGGCTTTGGGTGACATTGATTTCGTCCTCTCTTGAAAAAAGAAGGCCATTTGCTTGAGTGCTAGATGAATTCGAGTAAAATTTGAGTGGGAGTGCCGATGAGATGTTTGCATGAGGGATCAAAACTTTTGGTTATGACAAGCTGATGTAGATGGATAGTGCTTTCAATTTGCTTTTTAGATTTCGTAGGAATTAATGTTTTTTGTTCTGGTTGTTTTCATGAGAATTATTTAAAAATAAGAACATATGTGTAATTTGGACTTTCAGTTGTCAGACTATTTCTATAAAGTCTATTGTGATTTGTATAATCCTAGTTATGATGAGTTAATGAATCCTTTTTCTTTTTTTTTTTGGCTTGAGAATTTAGGAGTTACAATGCTTTGAGGATTTAGCATCCACAACTTAAGAACTCACTAGTTAGTATCTTTATTTGTTTGTTGTCTTTCCAATTTCCTATTAAATCTATAATTTTCCTGCCTACCTGCATTAATTTGGTTATGCGTGATCAAAGATATGTGGTTATCATGTAATCTCATTGTAATATTTGGTAAGTTTTGGGAATGCCTGTGATTTAGTTTGTTTGTCTTTTACATGATATACTCTTCTTTTGCTTATCTTTAAATGAAACGGAATAAAAATCAAATTCAGTTTGCTACAACGTGTAGATGACTCATTATACGTTAGTTCAATTCAATTTAAATGAGGATAAAGCTTGATTGAAATATTCCATCCCATTATTGGATATAATACATTTAACTTTAGTGCCAAATTGGGTAAGGATTAGTTCATGGAACATGAGTAGGATTGTACTCATAATAAATTTATTTTTTCTGAGCTCAAATTAAGTTGTGCGTGAGTATTCATATATTAAAAATAACAGACCATCTAGCCACATTAATATGAAAAACATGAGATAGTCCCAGGCATTGGTGTGGATTAGGGACAAAAGGTATTGAGGTTTTTAAGTGGCTTAGTGGATAGGGAACTCTGTTTTGTTTGACCTCACGACTGCCAATGGCTAACCCTGCGCCAACAGTAGGCCTATCCCACTCTTGCACACTGCGCAGCCCCACCATCTTTGTCACGCCCAACCACCTCATAAAGGTGTCCGATCGCGCCCAACCTTTCCCTTAATTGTAGTAACTGCCCCACGCACCCCCAACCTGATAGTCTTGCTCGTTCGATCTTATTCTCTCAAAGTAAATACAATATAAAATATAAATTACAAAATAATAATAACAAAAAATAAAGGGCGATTCTAAATGGGCCCTAAAATATTTGTAATGCAAAGCTGCACTGTGTAGTGAAAGAGACCTCATGAAAAATGGCTTTACTTCAGATTTAGATGAAGCAAACTGTATGTTTTGGTATTGTTTTTGTTGTTCTTTACATTATTAAAAACATGCTTGGAGTAATGCATGTTGTGAAACTCCATGGTATTTTCTTTGTTTATAGGTTTGGGGAAAAACTTCTTGAATTTTTACTGCTTCTAGGAGAACCTTACTATTTTCACAAACCTTTCATTCGTAGTTTTTTCTGTTTCTCTCTATACTTTGTGTTTTTTATTTGTTAAACTTGTATGATGTTTGAAACCATTTAATTTAGCAGTCTTAAAAAAATGTATTTACTTTACATGACATTTTGAATAAGTATGAAGATAAAATATGATTATGTTGATCACATATTCCCAAATGGTTTATTGGTGGATGTATTTTTGGTTTGCAAATAAAATGATTTCTGAAATCATATCACAGGAGAACTTTGGTTTATGCAGTCAACCAAGATGCTGAGAAATCATTCAAGAAGACTCTAGAAGTTGATAGACTAATAGATACTCTAAGAGTTTCCAATCCCGGTGAAGTAAGTGTATTGAGATTATGTTCATTTTTCAGCATCATATTGAAGTAATCCAGATATATGAATCTATAGTGAATCTTCCACATGTGGAGCTCTACTTGGTATTTTTTAATTTTAATTTTATTCTCTTCCTTGTTTGTTTGAATAAAACTAGACTAGGCATCTTGACTGTTCTGCTTCTTTTACAGCTAGAACAGCTTGTTGTTGAAAATGTGCTGGCATTTAACGAGGGTTTCTGGATCCGGCTTGCAGCTAGAACTGAAACTTGTAAATCAGATGATGACAAAGCATGGCTTTCTTCTTATTTGATTTTTAATTTTGCACAAATATCTTTAGTTTTTCAGTTTTTTTTTCCTGTTTAAGCAAGTTGTAAGTTCAAGTGTCATACGCTGCAGAAAGATTATGAGGAACTGGCCGCATCAGTGATGAGCATAGTTGACCGATTGGTCCATAAAGCAAATGTAAGCATATAACATATCGTCACAGATTGTGTCATTAACATTAACAGAAGATACTGTCACTGGTTAATTTGAATAAATACGTTATCTCAGAGCCAAACCTAGGCTGAAATTATTATTATTATTTTATGATGTTCTAAATGGATAAGTTCTACATTTTTCTTCGATTATTGGTAGGCTTAATACTTTATAATGAGTTTCTCTTAGTTGAAGGGCCATATCCTATGTTGCACCGATACACCTATTTATGAAGGCGTGCTATATCCGATATACCGATACACAGATACGCCTCTGATACTCCACCGATACGTGTCGGATACGCCAAAGCCGTATCCAATTAAAATAATATTTAATTTCAAAAGGACATGCGTATCTGATACGCGTGTTCGTTGAAAAACAAAAAAAAATCCGAAAAAAAAGACGTGAAGTATTTACTTCCGCGGTTGCGAGCAAGATTCTCTCATTTCCGAGATGGATTTGAGTCTCTTGATGATATGAAAATATTAATCTTTCACTTGATGAGCCTGAATTATAAGCTATGGTATTTATTGAAGATGATATGAAAGTTCAAAGACAAACCAATGAAGAAGATAATTATATCATTCCTTCTATTGAATAGTTGAAACTTCATGTGCTAGATAATTTATGTTTATGCTTTTGTTGTTGTACTAGACATTTAATACTTACTTATATTTTGATATTATAAGCTACAATGCTATAAATGATGTTGTTGCCATTTTTTTTGTAATTTCAAATATTATGTTTTGATTGCTTTTTTAATTTTTATGTATGATTTATAAATTATAATGCCGTGTCCGCGCCGTACCCGTATCTTGTATTTTTAAGAATTGACGTGTCCCGTATCGTTTCCGTGTCGCCGTATCCGTATCGGTGCAACATAGGCCATATCCAATGTATGAAGCTTCAACCAATATATGGTCTAAGAGTGGGTTGATCCATGCAACCTTATTCTGCATTGGAGTGAGACCATCTACCGGAATTAAACATGTGACCTCTAGTTCATAATGCAAGGAACCAAGCTTTGCTGTAGTTGTACAAGTCCAAAATATTTGCAAGAGAAATGGTGCTTTCCTCCCTACAAATATTTTCATGCAATTTGTAAAAGACATAACATGAAAAATTTATTATTGTCATCAACTAATGGAAAAAAAATCGCATTCAGTGATAATATTGGTTTTGAACATACTAGAAGCTTAGTGCTCTCTATTTCTTTTAAGCATGTAATTAAATAAATATAGGACTTGAAGCATTACTCTAGATCTGCATTATATAGGGCTTTCTTGGTAAATTGATACATACCTGATTAGATCTGCATCATATGGGGCTTTCTCATTAAAATACATTCCTAATTTCACTGGGCCTATTACAACTTGTAATTTCTACAGTAGGAGTTAGGTGATCGTATGTGCGGTTGATGTAGAACGGAAATGCTTTGCTAGGGAAGGTGGACAATCTCCAAGTGTCTCCTCACAAAAGCTGAAATGTCCCTTCAGAAAATCTGAAATTTTCAGATTTTTCTATTGGAGAGGGTGGAGAGAATTATAATTAATGCCAAGGAGAGGTGGAGATTTGAGGAATTGCTGTGAAGAAGTTAACAAAAACAATTACGGGAAGTGACATTGTTTCCAGCATACAATTCCTTCCATGAAAGCTGAAATATTTCAGATTTTACCACAAAATCTGAGAGGAAATTCAGCAGGTTAATAAGCAGAGGAAGGGATGGAATTCAATTCCTTGAATCCGTGAAAGGAGTCAGGGAAATAGAATAAGAAATAAAGTCCAGGGAGAATTCGGCTAAGGCTATGGAGTCGGATTTTAGAAAAAAAATCCACTAAGGGGGGAGGCGGTGAGCTGAGAGAAAATTTAGGAATTAAATTCTAATTCCTATTCTAAATCCCAAGAGAGAGGGAGCGACAGCCGTAATGGGAAAAGGGGTTAATACAAAGCCTTAATGCCTGCTAGTCGTGAGATAATTATTTAATGCTCAATTGAGATTGTTTCCAAAAGAGAGGATTTAGAGTATTAATTAATGGGTAGGTGGCAGGGATAGGCTAGAGATGAATTAATGGGTAGGGATTTATTTCCTGCTACAGAACTCCTTAGATTAGGGAATCAATTAGGAATTTAATCAAAATCTGAATTTTAATTTCAGTTTTAATTAAATTAGGAGGGAATTGATTTGAATTTTAAAATTCAAATCAATTCCCTCCTAATTTAATTAAAACTGAAATTAAAATTCAGATTTTGATTAAATTCCTAAATGATTAACTAATCTAAGGAGTTTTGTAGCAGGAATTAAATCTCTACCCATTAATTCATCTCTAGCCTATGCCTCCACCGGCCCCCCTCATTAATACCCCATAGATTTGTTTCCTAAAGCCACATCCTCTCTTGGAAACAATTCAAATTCCTTCCCGTGGCCAAGATATCCAAGATCCACCACAATTTCTGCCCACAATCTCAGTTTCACTCACGTTGGAAGTATTTCCAAAACCTGGCCCATAATTCTGCCCACAATTTCAGCCTCCCTCACGTTGGAATTGAACCATCTCCATATTTATCTGCTGGCCGAAAATTCCCAAGGCTGATATATTAATTTCCTTCTACAATTCTCTCCCAAAATGCTGCCTGACGTTGGGTCTTCCTCCCTGTAAAGCTGCAGCCAGAAATTTCCAGCAATTCCTCTTGAATCCCAGTAGCCTGATGCCCCAATATTGCTGTTTTACCCACAGCAAATTGCTGTCCAGCAATTCCTGCTGCATCCTGTGTGCTGTCCACAGATTCCTGCAGCCATCAAGTGCTGTCCTGCACCCCGGGAGGTCTGAAATTG